ACGGCACGTAGATGACGAGCAAAAGCGTTCCTCATCGATTAGCGAAGCTGCCATTCTTCCGCTGAGCCAAGAAGTGGCCTATCCCTTGCCATTTCATTCTCGGATCACCTCACGATTACGACAACACGCAAGAGCTTACTACATTTTATACGCCGTTGGCTCGCGGGGCTTCGCCGCGTGACACTTATTAATTGCACTAATTCATCTTGACACGCAAACAAAAAGGAACAACGCTCTTATTTCTAATTAACTTCATTTTCGTTTCTTTTTTTTTTACTACAACGATTAATGCTATTGAACGCCAGTTATTTTTTAGTTTAAACGTAGTTTTTCTAAGGTAGATGAGCGTGTCGTTTCAAAAAAAAAAAAAAAAATTGAAAGCTAAGTCTATGGATACAAGTATAAACGGTGAGCCAAATTTTTGGTCTTAACTTGTGACGCTTGTTTCGAACGCTCGTAAAGTGAAGCTGAGCATCAAACTAACAAAATACAAGGGCTGCTGGTATAGCCTCGGGATTTAGAAGATTGCCCATGAACAACCACTATAAACTAGAGTAAGCGAATGCCATCGCGCGGAGATAAACTTAAATTTTTTTCTCCGCTGTTCTTCCAATTTACGGTTGGCAACATTGTGAAAGCTCGTATACCTCCAATAGCTTTCAGTATTTTCGATATGGTATTTTAATTATTTTCTGTATGCTTTAAACGTGAAAAAAACAACGCAACGTTGTTCCGCATATCAATACATAGGAATTCGTATATTAAACGATTTTACCAGGTTAAAATAGTTCTCAGCTAGAGGGATTCTCAGCTGCGACTCCAGCGCATTAAAAAAGCAATTGATATATTTATCTAGTTCGTGTGAGGAGAATCAATAATATATTGAAGCGAAAAAATGCGTAGACATTCCTTAGTTGGAACCGTCCGAAATTCGATATGTGCTTTTGATGGTCCGGTGCCAACATTTTTTTAAATGCATGACTTGAAAGGACAAAACTCTGTATTACGAATTTTCAAAAATCCAATGTATATCGATACTACATTGTTTATGAACACCCCAAGAATGTATATATCAATTTTTAAGTTTTAATATTTATTAGTATTGTATATTAATTATTTATTCGTGATTGAAACTAATATACTATTGTTGTTCACCAGTTAGCACTTATCTGAATATTTGAACATATTGGCGATATTTTAATTAAACAAAAACACATATGGCTATCCAACCGTTAAGAACAATACATTATATTCCTGCTCCTGATACAAGACATTATAATTTAATCAAAATTACAAATCAAGATTTTTTTTGGATTTACTTATTCTATTAAAACTGCCTGAGTTCACAATAGTATATCAGTGGGCTTAGGTTCCACACATCCATTTTCACCAATTTTACACGCTTTCGAACTAGATGCTTTTTCTACAATTGATTGATTCTTAGCGAACATATTTGCAGAAGTATTTTCACTGACGCACAACTTGTCTTTAACACACGAATAATTCTGATTTACAATAGTTTTGTTACATTTTTTTGGTGTTCGTAAACTATTACTATCGGATAGTGACAAATTACAATCTCGCAATTGATCAACATGACGCTTCTATATTTTCTGATCCTCTGTAGTAACATTGTATATCACGAAACTAATCTGCTCTTTAACCTCAGTTTTCCTTTTTCCTACAATTCTTGGTCATTACTAAATCTCTCTGATTGAAATTAACGTCTCTCATCTCTGAAAAATTTTTTCTGATCTTGCTTTATCAAAATATGATTACCAACTTTTTTTCTCAGTAAATCCCACCTAGTGCGAAATTTTGTACCTGATTGCAATTCAGCTGGATTTATACCTGCTGTACAACATGGAGACAATAATTAAATAAATATTTAGCAAAGTTTATTTTTTCGATAAACATTCCTCAACCGAAAGATTAAACTTAGCTTTGAATCTTTTCACTGCATTTTTAGTTCCTCAATTACTGGGTGTGTTGGTACGGTGCAATTTTTTGATGAGTAACTCCGTTATAAAACATGAAATCTGCAAATAACTTTGAATATTAAACCATTATCTGTAACTAACACGTATGAGGAATACCCCAAGTAGCAAAATAATCTCTAAAAGCATCAATGGTAGTTACTGTAGTCATATCGTTCAACTCACCAATATCAATTCACTTTGATAATCCACAAAAATCAGTATGTACTCGTATACAATGATTTACATTCTCTAGCCAATTCCAAAATGAAGTGACGTTTTTGGCGGGTTGTCAGCGTTTATTAAACATAATTCACACTTTTTACATTTATTTTCAATTTGCTAATTCATCGCTGGCCACCAAATGTATGAACAAGTCATTTTCATGCGTACAGCACCCATGTGTAAATTGTGTGAAGTTCATCAAGATATCCTCTCTCAGAGATAATGGAACATAGATAATATAACCATATAACCATTTTCAAGAGCTAGTTTTTTTCTTTGCGTTCGTATAATGATAAACTATCATGAATTTCTTTACGACATGCTTTTAATAAATATTTTTTTTACTAAACTCAAAGTCAAATCCTTATTTATCTGGCATAACATATAATGACAGCTAACTAGTTTTCTTTGAAATCAATGCATCAACTTTAACTACGTTTATGGATACATTCATACTTTCTGTATAATTTTTGAAAATCCATTTTGTTTCATGTATTTACGATATATTTACAATTATTCTCCCATACCCTTTCTTCTCTCTGAAGACTAAGCCAATAGCACTGTTAATCAAATGTTACCGCCTTTTCTTTTAGTACAAGTTTTTTTACAGACTTGTAGAACACACCAAAAACAAATTAATCTCATAAATGCATTTTCAATTAAGCGCTGAAATTACAATTCGTAGAAAACTTTTTTAAATTTGCCACAAATTTTAATATACTCGCCCTCTTTTTGCCGACATTTTTTGAAAGTGTAACGCCGAAGGTTTGTCAGGCGAACATAATTCTTTGAATAAAGCGTAACCTTTGTTACCTATAAACGCAACCAATACAGGAACCTTTTTCTCATCTTTGATTTCATTAGCTTCGAAAAACTGCTTCAATATTTCTTGCCACAGCTCCTAGTCTTCTGTTAACTCATCCTCAACAATCGACCCGATGTAGCCTTTACTAGCTATCTTCCCCTTCTTCAAATTCACATCAAAAATATCACTTTCTCACTCTAAGTCGGTACTTTTTTAATTTCTCATTACACGTTGATATTCATTCTCGGCGCCAAATCGTTGTATATAAATTATTTTCTTGTGATTAAAACTAATAATTATTTATTTAGAAATTACGTCCAGCTTGTTCAACAGTCAGCACTTATCTGAACATATCGGCAATATTCTAATTAAGCAAAAGCTCACATCGTCATTCAACTGTTAAGAACAATATATTACAATTAGAAAAAAATATAGTAGTGATTAGCGAATCGGCAGTGCGCAGCGGCACCAAATTTTATTAACATTTTGGTTAATAGCGCTTGAACAACGTACTTATCTGTTCTTTTTAACATGGCTTTTGGCCAACCGTTAATCAGCAAATTAAATTTTCATGCCAATTGGCGAAAACAAATTGAAGACAAACTATCGCTACCTGGCAATGCTTGCGTCTACGCGGCAGCACAGCACAGTTCGTCAAAGCAATCTTCTCTGATTTTGTTGCTCGTTCATAAATATCTTACCTCATCTTGTTTCGAAAATTTCTCGAATTAAAATCAGTTTACACCTACCAAACAATAAAATTCTCGGAATCCTCTTAATTTTATTTATACAGCGTATTTACGATCGTCGAGTGGGTGCAGATCCGTAACTAATTTATTAGCGAGAAAACAAATCACAAAGGACCGTGCGTCACGTACTTTACGGCTCGGCTATACAATTCCGCCATCCCATCCGGACGAAAGTTTACGCGAAAGTACTGCAGGGGGGGGGGGGATTCGACTTTGGTTTCGTCCTCTCCCTGCCGCTCGCAAAAATAATTTTTTTTTCTTTTTCACGACGACGTAGACAAACTCGTACCTCGATAGATAGACGAAAATGACTATCGTAAAAATTCTCGTAAACTTTGGACGAACGGGTAACACGCAATGTAGTCTGATTAAAATTAACTGCCTTGTAAATATCGATTCGACGCTTATAACTGGCAGATGTATGCACATCACCCGCCACTTTTTTTTTGCTCCGCAACTCGGACGTAGACAACTTTTTATTAAGATAGATTAACGACCTGACAGCACGAAAAATCAAGAAGTAATAGAGCTTCACCATATCGACTGCAATTAATGTAAAGTGGTGATTACGGGAATCGTGTAATTATATAAAAAAAATTTTCTTTTTTTAAAAATACAGCTGTCAAACACTTGTTTTGCTGGGTAAAAGCAAAGCATTCAAGTTGTAAACAACAATAGGTGAAAAGCAACGAATGTAATTCAATGATTCAATGGGAGTCAACTTAACTAATTCAACACGAATGTTTGGTTAAATTTTATATTGACTAGTGTAAAATCCTTTAAGTAATGCAAAACTGTTACCCTTACAAATAGATCTTTCTACCGAAAGAAATTGTTCTCATATCGAAGTCCCTTTTGCTGTTTCCGTGAAAAGACGACCAACATTAGCGAGGTTGGGGGAAGCTTTACGTTCGTTCTCCTGTTTCCTTCGAGTTCCGTGGTGCAGTAGACAGTATATATTTTTCTACCCCTAGCTGTCAGTGTTTCTACGCAAATATCTTGAGCGCAAGAGCTTGCAAATAGACATTATTTAGAGGCGCTAAGAAATTTCAATTCGAAGAACATATTTGCAAGTGACATTCAGCTATTAATTATACAAAAGCAATGTAACGAATGCACACTATTTGAAAGTAAATTTCATAATTTTAAATACAATTTGAGGGTAGCGCAACTGCACTATTTAATTTAATAAATTTGTCGATACAAAGGTTGGGATATACACATCTCGTTGAATTTTAATTTCAGGGCTATATTTTCCTCAGTCTGATCTGGCACTAAGAATACCTTACGTATCCAAAAACGGGATTGGAAAAATACCAAGTATAAGTCTATTCAGCGTGAGGTCATTAAAAAACGATTCTACTCTGGCCGAGGATGTCAAATACGAGATTTCGTCAATAAAGGACAAATTTGCTATTTTTAACGACAGGAATAAAAACGTTATATTGCATTCTTTACCGAAAGATGGTGAGAAATCGCACTATCTTCTAAAATTCATGCGCAATATTATGTTGGAATTTTATAATGTTATGTTATGTTTTTCAGGTAATCCGACCACAATCATCGTACAGGCGAAGGACAGTAGCGGCACAGAAGCTTTTTTTGAAATCAAAATCATACCTCAGTTGTCGAAAGATAATAGAATTAATTGCTCTGAATACATAGAGGTACGATATAATTTTTTTTTCAATTTCTCCACTGTTATACAGTTCTGTAGTACCACTCGAGTAATATAACGAATACGATAAAACGTTTCCTAGGATATGTGCTTCTGGAACAGATCCAAGTATAGAATTTATGAAAATCAGCCTGTCACTCTACTAGGATCACTTGGATCGGACGCTTATAAGCGAATTTGTCCGAAATTCTTTATAACCGGATACGAATTATTGAATGGTATGTTTCTCCTGAAGATGTATAACATAACAATATACTCTGCAATTATTTTTGGTTATTTTCGTATGGTATTCTCTTGACCAATACCAACGTGCAGTAATCCTCTTTGAACTTGTTTTATGAATTCGCTACGAAAACGACAGCAATAACTTTTGTATAAGATGCTAAAGCCTCGAGGGTTGTTTCCAAGGGTGAAGTCCTTTTTCTTAAATTCTTCTTCTCACTGCAGGTACGGAATTTTTTCATCTGTTGGATAACAAACTTTATTCAAACGAGTCACTGGATCGAGATACACTGAACCCACCCAAGGGGATCGGACCTAGTGCACATATCAACGTTAGATGCGTGATATGGGAGGAGAATACCGGCATACAATATACCATTGAGCGAGTTCTCAGTATAGACATATTAGATCAAAATGACAATCCTCCGATTTCGCAGACCAGCGAAATTGTCGAGATTCAGTTAAAAGATTTCGTGCAGGTAAGAGTTTTTTTGTCCAATTTCATTCCTTTGAAAAAAAGTTCATTTGACGTTTGATCGCTTTCTTCTCGTATTTCATCTTCTATAACCACTAGTGACGTTTAGCGCGCTTCGCGCCTTCAGCTGACCTGTTTCGTAATTTTTTCATATACATTTTGAGATAGATCAAAAGTTTTATTGGCGAAACTGAAAAATCAAAAATTCAATACGCATTAAATACTCCCATGATTTAATGAGATATAACCGACGATAATATTTGTAGATCAATAAATATGCACACATAGTATAGGAAAATGAATATGCAATAACATTGATACTCGTGATTGAAAAATTTTATTAATGAAATTTTAAGTTTTTATTATTCGAAGTTCTGTGTTGAACAATCATCATAAAGTTACAAAAACAAGATAAGCAATGTAATATAAGTTCTAAAAATTTTATAGTTTTCTATAATTGTAATTTTCATTATGTAAATACCATACTTCGATAGATGTTCAGGATTGTAATTAGTGCGTTATCAAAAACATTTTCTAATATTTCACGTAATTGAAAAAAGCTGAAATTACTGCACAATATTTTATTGTAATAATCTGCGATTTATATATTTTATTACCTACTTTGTTTATTCAAATTTAAGCTTTCGTATATAGAGCAAAGATCAATTAATTTCTCTATCGAGGTATCAGTCAGTTTTTATCTTGAGGTTAATATGATTAAATCAATCAATTCATATAAAATTCATGCCAACTATACGGATACACTTTACGAAATTCGGCATTAATCTTTCATAAGCGTACACTACATATATATATACTATCACATAATAGCTTATCACTTGACTATCTTTCGACCAATGAAATCACGCATAAAATGCGTTCCACTTTCCAAGCCATTGCTTTTTTAAAAAAGGAAAAAGAAAAAGGATTATGCAAATAGCATATGTAGCGAGAAATTGTCGGCATGTTGCTTCGCGTCAAGCAATCACTCAAAACTCAGCGTAAAGCACTTAATCGTGACTCGGAGAAGCTTAATAAAAGCTACATTGTGTTCATTATTAAGGCATTGTTTTGGACAGCCGGGGATAGCTTAAGGAATTAAAAAAAAAAAATGACAGAAAGAAAGTTAGGGAAAAAAAAGCGCGAGGGTGAAGTCAGGCGACAGCGAGAAGACTGATAAAGGCGCAGGAGAGTGCGCGGTAAAAAAAGCGGCTGCAGGGCCTGATCCTGATTAAACCCTAGACTAAGAGGAGAGAAAGAAGGGAAAAGTAAAAAGCGCAAAGTTTTCCTCTCTCTCTCTCTCTCTCTCTCTCCACGTCTGCGCATACGTTCTGCCGGCGTCTCCCTTGATTTGTCCATCTACTTGGCTTTTCGTTCTTCGAGTTTATTTTTCCCTTTTCTCGTTCGATAGTACTATCGTTACTCGTTTTTATAAACGTTCAAAAGTCATATTTGAAATGAAAGAAAATTTATTTCTCTCGTGAAATTCGAAATTGTGTGCGATAGTTCAACCAGCATCGATACATTCAATCAACGTTGTATTTGAATAGCGATTACAGTGCACAGTTTTATTCATAAAGTGTATGTACCGTGGAAATTATTAGCCTCGAGCAATAACGTTTTACGAAAATTGTTTCAATATTTTCATTGAGCATTAAAACGATATAACTGAACATAGGTTGAGATACCCGATTAATCAATATCAAATACTTGGTACGGTTGTTCGTTTTACACGATTCAAGAAAGTAATTCCATTGCTCCTTGTATATCTGATGCGATATTTGCGCTTCTCTTTCGTTTAATTTTCGAACCGATACGACGTGTGCATTTCTACTGGGAAATTTGTATTCTCGACTTCACCGCGAATGTGATTAAAGTTGTGCTTTCACTTCCGCGTAGACACGGACGAGGTGTACTTAAAAATACCTCGATTGTCAAAATTTTCGTGGTTCGGTCTCCTCGCGGTGGCGCTTGCTTTTTCCGCGGGGGGAAACGAACATTTCGATAGGAGAAAGATGAACAAGACGGAAGCGGAATGGATAACTTCGTTAGAGCGTAATCGTAAAAACAGTAGACGCCAGAATTGAGATTGATGCTCGAGTCGTTTGACGTGCTCAAGTGATTAGTCGCGCGCGCGCGGTCACGTATATGCACACGTCTGCATATATATATATATATATATATATATATACATATATTCCAATGGGGGAACAGGAGAGCAAGATCAGATGGAATGGATATTTTTACTCTTACATCTCGCTTTATCGGTCACGTGATTTACAAAGCTTTCTTTTCTGTTTTCACTACTCCTACATGTGTTTGCTCGATTAATTGCTTTCTATTTTCCCGCTGGCAGGGTGACAGATTGGACGAAAAGGATCTACTGATCAACGACGCGGACGACATAAATACGAATTCTTACAGCGTTACCTTGCTCGACGACGTCTACAACATTCTCAATTTGACTTACGATATCATTCCTATCGACAATCCCAAGAGGCCCGATTATCCACCTTACACCACTATTTTCGCAAGTATGGAATTTGCTCTCAACAAAAAAAATCGCCTTTCAATTAGCTTTCGCAGCTACCTTATTCAACATTAAATTCTGTTTCAGAATTGTTTGCCAGAACAAAAATCTTACCGAAATCACCGTATCGTGTTATTCTGCAAGTGAAGGATGAATCGCTACTGCCTGGTTACGGAAACTCTGTGGTAATTAGCAAACTCAGATTTTATTATCTTTCAAGCGTCTAAACAGAATAAATTTCGAAGGGGAAGAGACGCACTATTATCAACAAATAACCCACTGGCGAAATGCAGTTAGTAGCAGAATGTAATATCATATATACTGGTTATCGTTTTTAGAAACGAAAAGCTTGCGCGGTGGGTGTCTACCTGTAGTGACTGTTAATTAAACTTTTCCATACAGTTAACACGTTCGACCTTGACTACATAATTGCCGCAAAATTTCGCATCGGTAACTCTCAGTTCTTTTTTAATTCATATTCAAATGTAATGTAAAGTATGCTCGTTGGCGAAAGCTTTGATGCCTCGATTAATCGAACTTCATTTCAAACAGTTTCCAATCAATCGTTCGATATTGTATTATATTAAATACAAGAAAATTCCATTTATTTACTAGAAACAATAAATTGACTATCGAACAAATGTAAAAAACTAATTGTTTGATGAACTCTCCATTAAATCGGTGATTAAATTCAATTCGTTAAAGTAATTTCTTATGGTTCACTCTCACAAATTTGACGAATTGAATTTACTATCAAGAAAAAGGTCGAGAAAGTCGCAGATACAGAGGCGCGCAGCTACGATCGACTTATTTGCGAGAGACAGTGCAGGGCAAAGAAGTGGGCGCGTCTTACTCTCGTTCCCGTGTCGGGAGAGCGGAGATAAAACACGTTGAATGGCTCGCGGTGTGGCCAATGGGCTGTGCAACAAATACGTCCGAGCAACTATTTGCGCGCGGCTTCACGCGAATCGCCTCGACTTGCCCGCGGCGACGTTAAGGTGCACTTTGCTCGAAAATATGACGAGCCTCGGCGGCGACTGCTGCGGATAACAGCTCGGGCAATTGCCAGGCAAAGCTTCCGTCGATGGTTCGAGCTGTCCAATACACACGGAGAAGTCCACCAGCAAGGGCAATCGATTACCGGTGATCGTTCTGTCCGTCGACCCTAGGTAAACATAACGTTGGCATTGACGGAGCGCTCGCAGCAGCAGCAGCAGCAGCCGGCCGCAGTGGCGTCGGTGAGACCGACGGCCCCGTCAGTCTTGGCTCGGCAGCAGGTCTCTTACCCCGCGCTGGTGGAGATGTCGCGGGAGTCCGGTCGCTACTACCGGGTGGCCCAGCCTTTGCAGAGGGCCAGCGGCAGCAAAGTGGCGTTCAACCTGCGCGGACCGGACGCCTTCAACGTCACCCGCTCGGCCGGCATCGTCTACGTGGCCAATCCGACTGCGCTCCTGTCCATTTCCACGGCCATCAGGTACTCGCGGAGATCCGCGCTTTGCTTTGCCGATCGCTATAACGTTCCTTGCGAAACGCACCGCGCGCTGACGGACTTGTGCTCATGGCCGACAGCCTGCGAGTCGAGTGGCGAGCGCCCGGGCAGGACCTCGCGTTCGCCACGCTCACGATCAAGGTCCAGGACGGCGCGGAGCCGTGCAAGCAGCCGCTGACGGGCGTGCACTCGTGCGCTACCGCCAAGACCGGCGCCGAGTGCGAGGGACGATGCGGCGTCGCCGCCGCCGGCGGTGCAAGGTGCCTCCCGGCTCCAGTCTCGCGGCGGCGGCCTCGGGCCTGTCTCTCTTATCCTCTGCCGCCTTCCCGCAGGACCACCGACAGCGACGCGCGCGCGGCCGGCTGCGCGTGGAGACCGAGCCAAGCGAACAGCAGCGCGATGACCGAGAAGTACGAGACCTGCTCGCCCGACCTGGCCACTTGCCCCGACAACGCGTGCGACGAGCTCGAGCAGCTGGACCCGCGGATTTGCCCGCAGGACTGCGTGATCGAGTGTAAGATCCGAGCGTAAGCTCGCGCGCGCTCGGGCTTTCGTTCGATCACCGATGCGTCGCATTGCAGCTGAAGTGCGATTCGCCGAGGTCAACCAAGACGGACGGGGAATACGCAGCGGCCTCGGCGCTTGCTGGTGCGACGACTACATGCAGTGCACGTGCGGCTCGAGCTTTCGCAAGCAGCTGGGCAAGGAGCCGCGCGAGACCAGCAGAACGCGCAAGCCGCAGTCCGTCGCTTCCGACGCGCCCAAAGGTACGAACGTCGCGGCGACTCGCTGTCCCAATGCCGCAGCTCGCCTCGCCTCGCCTCGCCTCGCCTCGCCTCGCTTGGGAAACGCGTCCGGCTGCACTTGAGCTTTCTACTTTTAGTGGGAAAGCGCGACTGATCGATACGAACGAATTTACAGCTGCAGGAAGTACTTGCGGGCCGACCTGTTTGATTGGGATCGTAGCAGCCAGTCTCTTCGTCGTTGTGATCATCGTCGGATCATTCGTTCTCTGGCGATACAGGTGAGACGCGCGCTGGATGCGTCGTTGCCAGATCGCTGATCGATGAGTCGCGATCGAACGTGCAATCGAACGCACTTGACAAAAGTTGAACTGCAATTGTGGCCGTTGTCGTTTCAATGGACTCGGCCGATGAACGAAAGAAATGCTTTTACGTGTCACAGGATAGTAACGAAAATTCCTCGTCGAAATTGCAAGCACCGAGGAAGCGAGGCTGCCAACGGGCTTGGTATTCTGCCTCTGGATTGCGTCGATCGCGGTGACGGCCTACTAATCGGATTGGAATCCTTAGCCGCAACCAATCGTGCACTGCTGTCTACCAAAACGACGTCGGTGAGCTTGCGAGTTGGATGTTTCGTTTCGTTTTCTCTCTCTTTTTTTTTTTTTTTTCTTTCTTTGCATTACAATTGTGCGAGACGCGTAGCCAAGAACCTGATTCCCCGCGATTGATCTTCATCGATTGACTAAGCCCGGCCAAATGAAATTTAAGCAAAACGCTTATTACGACGAAGACAATATGCGGTAGCTTGAGTCACCACGCGATCCTTTGGCTTCGGTGCATATAAGAACGCAGCTGATTTTATCAATATGCGCTCTCAATCTTATCGAGGTTCTTTCAGCTATTGCGCGTGATAAAGGAAAAACCAGTTAAACAAGGTATGATACCTTTGGGGAAAGTTTCCGTGAAATCTCTATGAATTTCAACAGAAATCGGGGCGCGCAATCGAACCTTGTGTGAAGAGGAGACCCTAATCTACGCGCTGTACCGCATCTTCCTATTTGTTTAAGCTTTCGACGCGAGTTCGTAACTTAGTGATTTGAGCACAAGATTCGTTGGCAACTAGTAAGTACAACGTTTCTCGCACACTTAAACGAGCGGCATTAGATTGAACGTCGCGCAAATTGGGAGATTGCAAATACCGCGCGCCAGAGGACGGACGGAGCTCGCTTATTTTATTATCCACGCGCGGTTGAAATTCGCGATTCAAAGGACCACTGAAAAACGGACGCGGCTGCCACGCGCGCCGCTGAGTAATTTAACGCGCCGCACGATCGCGCGATATTTACCAACCCGCCAACCGCCGCGTCGAGAGCCAAGATATAGGCATGCAAATATGCGCATCTCGTTGCGTTTCGTGCTTTGCTCCTCTGCTAACGTCTCCCGTCCTACACTAATTGCATTGTTCGCGCGTCTTTTTATTACGTTTATAATTCTTCAGTTGACTTACCTTTTCGTATTCATTTATTGGATTTTTTTGTATTCTTCATTTTATTTAAAATTATACAATGAAATTTCATTTTCGTAATATAAAAAATATATTATAACTGAAAACTTGGTCGCACAATAATAGCTTTTATAAGCGCTTTAACATCGCTAAGCTTCTAGTTGATGAAAACATAAATTTCGTTTATCAGTCGTGATAAATTTTACGTACTTTTTACAATTGATTAAATTGTTCTTTGTGGGAAAAAGAAATTTCTTTGAGGAATAATCAATCGAAATTTGTCTTATCTTCGATCAACATTACTACATTAAGCGTACAATGTCACCAGATACAGGAAAATTTCTAAAATAGCGCACTGCACGAAAAGTTGTGTCCGTTAAAATTCAGTGAAAAGAAAAATCGAATTTCCAGCCCGATCCAAAATGGGAATTTCCTCGCTCGCGCTTAACAATCGAGCAAGTACTCGGCGAAGGCGAGTTCGGCCGCGTACTTCGCGCCAAAGCCAAGGACATCGAGCCTACCCTGGGCCTGACGACCGTCGCCGTGAAGACTCTGAAAGAAGACGCTAGCGCGTCGGAACTGGCCGACCTGTTGTCCGAGTACCAGCTGCTGAAGGAAGCGCAACATCCGAACGTCATACGGCTGTTGGGAGCGTGCACGAGCGCCGGTGGCCCGATTTATCTCATCATCGAGTTCGCCGAGTTTGGCTCCCTTAGGTGAGCTTTCAACTTGCCGTAGCACACGCGTAAATATTTTGCGAGCTCGCCTCCGTTTGCCATTGGACTACGCTCGCTCGCACGGCATAAATACACGTGCTGTTCCACCGATCGGACTTGGATTGCATTCGTTGCATTGACAGTTCTATATTTTCGAGCCGAAACGCACTTGCGAACGCGACGAAAAAAAGAAAAAAGAATTCGAAAAGCGGGAGAGAAAAACGGGAGGGGGGCAAGAGAGAGCAATATAGTCCGCACAAGGATGCGCGGTAAGACGCGTCGAAACTCCAATTCGACGTCGGTCACCTTTGCCACCTCCTAACGCAGCGATCTTCCGGTTGCCGTCTCCTAGAAACTACTTGCGCCGAAGTCGGCATTTGGAAGGGGAGGGCAAGGGCCCTTGCTTCGCGCTACCGCCACCGTCGTCGCCGAGCGACGCCAAGTCAACGCTGGACGAGACTCGTTGCGACGCCACGGCGGACTCGAGCGTCGCGCCGCGAGACATACTCTCGTTTGCCTGGCAGATCAGCAAGGGTATGGCTTATCTGGCCGACATCAAGGTACGTATCGCCGTCGCGCGGCACTCGCTCGAGCGCACTCTCACTGGAACGTGGGTCGCGGGGGCTTGCAGCTGGTGCATCGAGACCTGGCGGCCAGAAACGTGCTGCTCGCCGCCGGCAAAGTCTGCAAAATATCGGATTTCGGATTGACGCGCGACGTCTACGAGGACGACGCCTACCTGAAGCGGAGCAAAGGACGAGGTAATATTCGCTTGCACGCCGTCGCACGAGTCAAGGTTTGCGCTCGCCGATTCGATTATCAGCCGCTGCCGCGACTGCGCTCAGAACTGGGTAACGAGCAAAGTTAAATATGCTCCGTGGCGCAGTGCCGGTGAAGTGGATGGCGCCAGAGTCGCTGGCGGATCACGTCTACACGAGCAAGTCGGACGTTTGGAGCTTCGGGGTGCTGCTCTGGGAGCTGGTGACGCTCGGAGCTTCCCCGTACCCGGGCGTGGACGTGCACAATCTGTACAGTCTGCTGCGAGCCGGCTACCGGATGGAGAAGCCGGCGAACTGCTCGCCTCAGCTGTGAGTTTCCAGGACGACTGCTCGCGACGTGGCTCGCCCTCGCTCACATCGCCGCGCATCCGATTTGTCGACAGGTATAAGCTGATGGTGTCGTGCTGGCACGACGAGCCGGGCATGAGGCCGTCGTTCAAGGAGCTCACCTGCCACTGGGAGCGCATGCTCGAGGACGCCGTCGAGTACCTGGACCTGAACCCACGCACCGTGCACAACCAAGCCTACTTCGCGACGCTCCACGCTCTCGACAGTCCCGGTAAGTGAGCACGCGACGCGATCACGCGGCGTTCGGCGGCCCAGTTGAGAGCCACGCGGATTTTGGTTGGCAGACACGAGCGGCGAGTCGCAGCAGGACGTGCTCGGTTGCGCGCTCGTCAGGCCGCCGACGAACCGCGCGAGCGCCGTCAATTACCTGAGCAAGCCGCCGTTCGAGCCGATCAACAAGTGCGACAAGGTCGACAAGCTCGAGGCTCTGTGGCACGAACCGTCGTGCAGTAGCAGGGCCTACGTCAACGAGTCCGCGTCGATGGCCTACCAAGAGCACTTGCAGCATCGCCGACGCGGCCACTACGAGAGCCCTATCAAGTTGCGAAACGCCAGCCTGACGAGCAACAGCGAAAACGAATTGGCCACGGGCGAGGCGTCCGCCGGCGCGAGACCGCAGTCTTACATCGACATGCAGGCTGGCAGCGCCAGCAAAATCCTTTCCAAAGAATCCGACGACTTGCTGATGTCGTTCAACAGCTTGGACACCAATGCCGACTTCGAGCGGATGAGCGATTTCGAGTGAATGCTCACGCGAAACGCGTCCCGAACAATTGTCATTTGGATGGCATCGTTCGCGAGGTTGTATACGCTTCGTGTTTCACCGATTCGTGTACACCTTCGTTTACCTGCATAAACATCGTTGCCAATCGAATCGAAGCTTCGATCGTCGTGTCTTAGGGCCACTCGCAGGAATATTTTTTAGATTTTCCGTTACTTTGTGATAGTCTACACTCTTGGTGGATTTATACAAACTGACTTCCGCTCACGTGTAATCCTTATTAATTATTATACGATACTTATACCAAAATTACTCGTGTCAAGTGTATATATAGTTTTACGTCTTTTGTTACTGCACGAATATAATTTGAAAGTACTCAAAACTTTCCAGACGGATTTGCTTACTGAAATAAAACATGGAAACTCACCTTAAATGTCCTTTATGGGAATGTTGAAGTTGTAGTAAATGTTACATTTTTATCGTCTTAAGCTCATTCATATTATTGTAATATAATTTTAAAAACGAAAAAAAAACAATTAAGCAACTTTAATACGATAACAAAGGAAAGACAAATAACGGAGCGATACGATTTTGTAATAATGATGGAAATATAAGAATATAGATTTTATAAAATTAAAAATTTGTAATATGTCAATCGTGTAAATATTATTATACAACATTAATATAAAATTCCAATTACGGCATAAAATTTTGATTTGATCGAAGAAAAAAGAAAACATAGCATCATGAATATTTCGAATACAAGAAAAAGAAACTAACGTTGGAGACAGAGGTTTCGAAGAAACATAATTTTATGAAGTAAACCATATTTTCATATTCCACATATACATAATACTTATATGTTTCATATGCTTATGCGCTTTTGGATGTTAGAGCCTTCGATCATCATAATAGTTCAGTAATAATAAAAGGCAAAGGGCAACCGTAGTGCAATTTTGAAAGTGCAAGACAAATTCTCAGAAAACTGAGTCACTTTTATCTTACTGTATTTTACACACTAGTTTACATGTAAAATTATTGCAACATTTGAAGTAACATTTACTTTGGAAAATCCGTGTATGGCCAAAATTTAAGCATCGTATTCAGTTTTATCATACCAGCAATAGTATGTAATATATACAATTTAGTTTGATACTTGTAGATCATTACTGTGATGATTTTGTAAATATAATATTTTTGATCTACTTGAATTTAATCTAATCATGATAAAACAAAACCAAAGCGTATAACACTATTTTATAACACGCATAAGAAGTACGAATACTTTAAGAGAAAATCATTCCGCATTTATTATTTATTACATGTACGTATTGTAATGATAATAAAACATTTTTAAGTATAATATATGAGCGTTGTTTTTTTCGTAAAATCCATATTTACTTAAAAAATAACATAAAAATTAGTTTCGTAACAGATTGTACGAGGGTCATTTGACAAGTATCTAGCCTAGAAATGAAAACACCAAAATTTTGTAAAAAATAAAATATATTTTTCAATGTAGTCTCCTTTTAGTTGAATACATTTGGTCCAGCGGTGGTAGAAAAGCACTTTCTTTTTAGACAAATTGGGCCGTTTTTCTTTTAATACGGCGTCATATCGGCTTAATAGTTCGGCGTAGTACTGTTCTGTGATATTCTGTCCTAAGCGATATTGTTCTTTCTCCATTTTTCAAAAATCAACGGATACGTTTGCTTTCGCACGATCTCAAAAATAAATTACAACTCCGATCCGGCACCAATGCGAAAACAGCCCGACACAAATAACATTTTATTAAAAAAATGATCACATCTCACGTATGTATAATTGTACTTCTTGAAAAAATAATTATTTGTTATTGTACCATTATATTTCTGATAAAAAATAAAAAATATCGTTATCGATAATTCACCTCCTATTTATTCACATAAAAGACATAATTAAGCAAAAATAAATTCACAGAAAAATTGTACCTTCTGTAGTCTAAATTGTACCATCAGTTTATATCTGTTTCTAAAAGAAATAATAGGACAATTACAAAGCTCTACGCCTGCGCAAAGTGCATTTCCGGATGACATCCTTGTAAGTTATAACAATTAGTGGCAATTTGTAATTGTCCTATTATTTCTTTTAGAAACAAAATTATAGAATTATACTGATGGTACAATTTAGACTACAGAAGGTACAATTTTTCTGTGAATTTATTTTTGCTTAATTATGTCTTTTATGTGAATAAATAGGAGGTGAATTATCGATAACGATATTTTTTATTTTTTCTGAGAAATATAATGGTACAATAACAAATAATTATTTTTTCGAGAAGTACAATTAGACATACGTGAGATGTGATCATTTTTTTTTTATAAAATGTCATTTGTGTCGGGCTGTTTTCGCATCGGTGATCCGGCTGCAATTTCGTCTGTAACCGAGTACAGGAAGATAACTGCACTGTGCCACTGTAGTGTATTTCTGGCGCGATAGCAGCACCATTTGGCGGTGAAGCTAGGTACTTGTCAAATGACCCTCGTAAAAGTAATGTCAGAGTCAGTCAACCTATAATTAATTATATATATATATATATATATATATATATATATATATATATATACATATATGTATTCAACCCCTTGGCATGGCTAGTTTTACCGACAAACGGTAGTGCTTGGTAGCAAATTGAGAGGGGATCTTGTCATTTTCACAACACAGAACTTACATAACCTTGGTGTTAGATATTACGATGAACTATGAAGTCAATAAAATGCACCTGTGGTTTCTAATTTATAGTTATTTACAATTGAAATTGTTATTATAAACGAATCAACTAGGACTTTTGCTTACGAATGTAAAATTGTTATCTGTTATAAATTACGATTTACACTGTTGATTGAATTCCTGTTGAAGGTGAATATCTTCTTTTTAGTTTTTTAATTGTTTTTGTATCTGCTTCATTTCATTAAGCAATGCAAAGTGTTTTAAAAAAAGTTTTTAGGTACTGAATCATTGGAAAATTCAAGAATGTTATTAAGCAAGCATTTTCCATTTTGTAAAATGTTCTGATCAAAGATAGCTACTCTAGGAAGTGCTTTTAGCTTCTTTTATTTAAAGAAGATGACAAAGATGCAATCAGCCTTCTGTTCAGAAAGTCCATAAAAAATATGGAACTACCCTACAGCTTTACACAGAGTAACATTTAAAAGCACAAATATATATAATCATATTTTTTTAAAGCTTTCTGTGCTATTTGCAAATATGTAATCATTTGATAGAAATTGACTGACAAAAACTTTTTCAATGAGAAAAAGAAAAACAGGAATAAACAATATTATTGTATGTCACCTACATAGTGAAATTAGTCGATTATTATGATTGAAAGCCAACAAATGTAATTTAAGGAAATGGTTTACAAACAAACATTATACTCAGCAATAATTTAAAATATTATTTTTTCATAATATGATCTGCAATTTGGTAGTATAATTTGTGATTAAGATTTCATTAATATGCTTGCGTAATATAGACTTTCAAAATGATTATTAGCACACCTTTGTATAAAATTGAGTTGGTTTGTTAAAAATGTTCATTTTTATCAATTATAAGGATGAAATATTCACATTTTTCATGTTATTTTTGTGTGGATTATTATTTAAAATATTGTTTAGAGTTTTTCTACTATACTTTAACCGCCTTTTGTCAGTATATTTCTAATTTCATTACTACACAACGTGAAGTTTTCTCTGTGCATAGTAATAGTAGTAGTAATAATTTTATAAGAAAAATAAAATAGCTATTTTTATAAACAAATTGTTTACTTATTTACATTAAAAATAAACAACAGAAATAGAGGGAAGTCAGTCATAGAAAAACTTGTTTTAGAAATAAATAATAGTTTATTAATAAAATAAGTATATACTGGTTATATAAAGGTAAAAGTCTTATAAAAGCATTTTCTCAAATTGTGCAGGTTCAACAATTTATAAATCCAAAGTGTCTATACGAAATTTTGAACCAGCTGGTGGACTAAAAGCAAAAGCTTCTGATTCGGTACTTTCACCTAGTAGATTTAACTCTTCGATATTTGTTCTAAAAGATTTTGATGACTTCCTATTAGTAGATGCATCAGAGCTTTTAGTTTCTATTTCATGTAATTGAATAACTTCTATTGATGGATCTTTTTCTTCCAAATCTGGCAGTAATAAATCTTCTGAAAGTGAAAAGATAGTTTAAATTACACAAATAATAAAACCTTTTCATCAATAACTAGAATTATTACCGTGTTCTACAATCTTCCGAGAACTTTTTCGTTTTGGAATCACGTGAATTTTAGCTAACTTTATAGAATCTACGAGATCTTTTTCAGACGCTGCAAAAAATCTGATGTACTCAACTTCGTGAACCGTTTTCACTAACTTGTCTAATTCTTCCGGCATCATAAATTGTTCAAATAGCTGTGCTTCTCTTGGTATATCTTCTTCTTTGCAATAAGGGAAGTGTACTACATAGTACCGTTTATTGCGACGAGGATAGTTTTCTTTAAGCAGCCTCAAAGCTTGGGTATCCATATTTCGGTAAACAACCGAAGCAGTTTCACCAGTTTGCGGCGAGGCTGCTATAAGTATTACATCCGCGGCTTGGAATGCTTCATTACACCAAAGAATAGGATCCTTTAAAAAACACGTGAAATTTTCATTAATAAAAGACAATCACCCTACTTAAATAACCATCTTTACCTTTGAGGGAGTTTCTGGAATGTCTAAAGTATCAATCATCGCATGAATATTACAACAACGTAAGTAACGCGCCAAATCAACCATAACATTAACATGTGCCATGTGTGATGGTGAGTAAACCAAGAGGCACTTTGGCTTTTTTTCAGCTCTTTGAATTATTTCTACAAATATTAAAAAAAAAATAAATATCAGTATTCTATTAACTCGAGTAATCTAAGAATTCAAATGTTTTATGTAAATTTTACCTCTTCTTTTATATAATTTATAAATATGATATGCAGCAAAAAATATCACAGGTGGAATCCAAATAAAACTAATGATCATAATGAGTAATCGATTAGAAGTTTGTTCTGCAACAAAAAATGTCAAAATATCAATATACTAATTAATCATAATCATGTTTTTATTTATAAAAGGTTATGTTAATACTTACTTATGCTTATAAATGGAGAAGTACTGTTAATACATCCATAGTCATGATGACAAATGAAATGAAGAACAGCTACTTTGAAATAAATTACACCATCGCTAACCGAAAAATTATAGTTAATATAGTGATTCCGATGAACATGGTACAGTACGACTTCTTTTGTAACGTTAGTGTCATAATTAATCATCCAAACTTTATAGCTGGATACATTAAACCTTTTTGGTAAAGGTTGTATGTATAAAGTTAATGTAGATGAGTCAGAAACATCAACATAAACAAATGGTGTGTATAATGCGACATTTTTTACACTATCAGCTGTAGAATAAAAAAGAATTAGATTAAATAACATATTTTATCATATCATTTCAGTATAAAATTTTACCAATTGATTTGTGATCAGGAACAACAAACACAAGTTTTCTACTATATTCATAATTATCTCCAGAAATTAAATACTCTAACCGATAAGTATTATTCTCATAAGAATTATTGTAAAATGGACAAGCTACAAAAAAGTCCTTAAAACGATAATTAGTTTGATTTCTATAAAAATGAACATGTCGACAAACAGAAGTTTCTTCATCCCCTAAACTTTGATAGCGAGTAGTCAGTCCTAAAAATTCAAAATAGATCATTGTATGTGTTTCTCTTTAAATCTTTTTGAAAATATATATGCTAAAACACTCACTATTAAAATTAACATTGTCAATAGAAAAATTGAATGCAGTTGCCTTCCCTTCCAGTACTCCAAAATCTCTAACATATGCAGATAGCATTACTTGAGCCAAAGGTTCACCAATGGGTGGCACATGTCCTAAATTTTCAAATCTTATTTGTTGACATTCTGCAATAATGAATATAGATTATGAGTAAATGTTTGTAGTATATTCCAAGTTCATTCACATAAAAGAAAATCTTGTACTAACCTACTCCTCTTTGTACTTGATCAACTAGACATTGTTCGTGTGATTTCCTTACAAAATTCGTCTGAAAAAAAGCCAAAAACAGCGATTTTATCGAACATTTCTCATTATGTTCCACATATTCTCGCTATGTAAACATAAAGAATAAGGGGTGCACTGAACTCTCAAAAAAAGAAAGCTAGCAAAAGAGTACTGCTTAAAGATAGAAAGTTGTACTCACGGTATTTTCGCAATACTTGGAATAACAGTTGGACGCGAGTACATCCTTGGTGATGAAACATATTATAAAAAAGAGCGCCTCGTACATGTTTGAGGTTAGATAGACAACTACATAGAGCCTGCTCTGCAGCCTGCCGTTGCGTGTGTGTAAACAAACGGGACTTGTTTACGATAATCGTAAGTCGCGCAACATATCGATGCGTTGCATTCTGACGGTGCGTCAGAATAAATGAGGCGATTAATTGATTTACATGATAGACACAGAGCTTCGAATTGAACCTTAGATATAAACGATGCGCACTATATAATAATAAAACGAGCGTCGCTCGCGAAGCTCGGTCTTGTCCCCCCCAATGCACACACAATACTACCTTAGTGTGTAGAACGGAGCAGCGCAGCGCAGTAGCGCCTCGCGTTCACTGACTTTTCGCGTGTGTGTGCATTTGTGACGATTTGGCAGCAACGGCGACTCCCTTCTCTTCTCCTTTTTTTTTTCGCTTCCTCGCTTTTCGAAGGTGTTGAGTTACGATTCGCATTGTCTAGTCAGCTGACCGTGAACATGCTTCGTCTAAGGTTACGCCTACACCTTTTTCCTATGTCAAAGTAAGTTCGTGCAAGTCATTTTTCAACCTGAACACCTATAAATAGTTTACTCAGATACTTCAAATGATTGCATGTCTTACTTCGATTCGACGCGCGCTAAAAAACCGCATGTATTTCGCGCGCTATAATATTATTTATTATGCGAATTACAATGATTTTTTGAATCATCAATTTCGAGTCATAATGCAATTTGTAAAAGCGCGTGCTATTGCACTCGTATCATGAACTTGTGTTCGCGTGTACAAAAACGAATTCGAGAAGCGTGCAGTTGTCGAGCGTGTAACGCTGAAACTTGAAAATCCCAAACATATCGTCACAAGCATTAATCCTTGCAATTACAGCGAAATTTGCAGGGTTTCGCGTAAGTGTATTTTTAAGTGCTCAGGTAATCGGAAACTCAACTTTACGACGTATTTACGACTATTGCTGATTGCTATTGATAAGTGGGCAATCTGCTGTAGGTGTTGTAACAATGAGAACGTTATCGACATTCTTATTTTTCGAAAACAATTGAGGTACAGAAAAATAGTATTGCAAATGGCCGAGTAAACGTGTAAAATATAAAATCGCTGAGTTTATTAAAAGCCAATACTTGGAAAAATCCATACAATCTGAACGTCGAATGCATATAGTCAAGTAAAAAGCATCGACGGTTATTCAGAGAAGATCGGCGTTAAACCTCGTGAATCTTCTTGGAAGGATCAAAGTTCTTCTTAAGCCCCTTCCAACATTTATGATAATCCTTGTCGAGCTTTCCGCAGACATTGGCCGCCCAATCTGTGACAGCCAGTGCATAGTATGTCTCGAACATAAAAGCCTGCGTGCCATCGGCTATTCGCTCGGCTTTCAATTCGGCGTTGGAAGCACCATCGAAGCAGGCGGTGTCGGGGCCATGGGGCGTCATCATCGAGTGCAAACTAGCGCCGCCCGGCTGAAAGCCGTCTTCCTTCGCCTCGTAACGACCCTTGATCAGGCCCATGAATTCGCTCATGCAGTTTCCTGCGAAAGAAAATTTACATATTGCACGTCCGGTGGTATCAGTCGTCGCTATAGGCGATGCGATGGCTCTATGCCGAATCGAAAGCTTTTTGCGCTTGCTCGTCGATGAGAAAGTTCGTCGGCCAAACTTTTTCGCTGGTCGAAGCGTTCACTCCTAGAAATATTAATGCGGACGCCAGTAGGCTCGCGGTGCAGGCATTTTTCCGTTTAGTTTTGTCCCGTATATTTTCTCTCGCTGAACGAGTAGATTGCCGTAAACAACTTGAACGCCTAAGGGTTTTGCTCGTTATTAACGAAGGAAGAAATGTCACTCGTCAAAATTGCTGTATCTTTTAGCTGAAAAAACGTAGCGCTTCGAGCATCGTCGATCGTGTAGTGGGATCGAAAGTCCACCCTCCGAATTAGCGTTCGCCCCGGGGAAACGGAATATAAGAAAGCCCGGATGGCCCCGTCTAAATTAAAAAGGCTACTGTGACCCTACTGGCCTGCGGACTCTATCGATTCTCGCGCTCGCGTTTCTTTTGGCTCGGTGCCGCCGCCGCCACCCGCGAGAACTGCAAAGACGATTCGCTAAGACACGTCCGCTTTCCGTCTACGCCGCGTGACTGCCGCGGAAAGCATGGCTCGCCGCAACTTTATCGTAGCGTAAGATCGACTTTTCCTTTTTCCGTTTCTCCCGCTGACTCTGCGTTTTTTTTTTTTTTTTTTCCTTTTATTCCATTGCGATCGATGATACACAATTTTTCGACGGATTTGTGTGTTCGAGGCTCACTTATATGTTAATAATAAGATTTCTTGCTTTAGTGCTGATAAAGTAGCTTGTGAGGTCACCCAACGCATTTGACTTACGGTGGTAGTAGGGCGGACGGAAAGTGTGCTCTTGGACGGACCATCTTGGCGGGAATATGACGAAATCGGCGATCGCAGTGCCTGGTTTGCTGGACGGACACGTCAAGACCGTGAAAATGGATGGATCCTACGAAAATTAATGTATCCAACGAATCGGCTACGAAAATCTATTTGAAGCGTCATTACGCGATACTCACGCAGTGATCAAACGAAACCGAGTTGATAACCATGAAGCGATCAAGGCTGTATTTGTAGGGTACGTAATTGCCGTGCCAAGCGACGACGTCGAATGGACTGTGAGTCTGATTGGCAACGAATAACTTGCCCTGATACTTGTTTATTATCTTGTACGAAAGCTCCTTGTCCTCGTAGTGCGCGACTGGCGTGAAGAAATCTCTTGGGCTTGCCAAGCCGTTCGCACCTTGCAAAACAAACAATCAATTTTTCCACTTCGCTCTCTCGCAATTGGAGGGCGTTCGTACCGATTGGTCCCAAATTCGGCAGTTGAAAATGATTATCGTATACTTCGAGAATGTATCCTCTGGATGGGCCGAACACGGTCACGGAGAATCGCATTCCACGTTGAACGACGCAAATCTCGTTCGGCTCGACGCGCATCTTTCCAAACTCCGTTGTGACGAGCAGCGCTCCCAGTTGCGGCACTGTACAAGCATCGTTCCTTCAGTCGTCAAGTTTCACGTGTGCCGCAACCGAACGATAATGATTCGAGCGACAAAATAAGAATTAGACGCGCGGTACGCGTGTATTCGATCGGCGCAGGCATTACTCACCGACGAGAAAATCTCCGTCGGAATTGTAGATCGCCTTGCCCTTCATGGACGCATTGCAGAGATAGACGTGCACTGCGACGCCGGCTCTCGTGCGTACGTCGCCAGCGCCGCAAACGGTGTGCAAACCCTCGACGAAGTCCACTTCCGGCTCCTGCCGAGTTGGAACCTCGAACGGCTTCCAGCGTAACTGCAATTATATTCTTTTCGATCAGCCTAGAGTCATCAAGGACGTGCGGTTTAACGCTTTCGGCTCGTTAGCTATCAGCTGGTGCAATTAGGACGGGCTCTTTTTTCTGAAAAGCTCCGGTGGATGCGTAAACGAGTGCATCGAGTGCGAGTTCTCAAAGCGTTAGCCTAATCGATTCATAATGAACGAGGATAGTTTTATTCAGGCGAGTCACTGTCGAGATAGAGCACATATGAGACTTACTTGATTCGGGTTGGGGGGAATTTTATCCCAGTCGTGAGTTAAGTGGATTGCGACATCGTTCGCCGGCTCGAACACGCCGTGGTTAACCGAAGGTCTTATCCGATAAAACCACGTTCTTCGATTTTCCAATCTGGCCACTTGTTTTGTCCAAGAGATTCGTTCGAATTTTAGAGCTTCACATGGAAATACTACTGGGAGTTCAGTACGTACCTGTGAAGGCAGTGCCAGACAGTTGTTCCGCGTACAAGCCGTAAGGACATTTTTGCGGATTGTTCTGTTCAAGGGGAAGTGCACCGGGGCATCTCTCGTCCTCGCTGCTGAACTCGTTGTCGAATCCTGACAAGTACTGATATCGCAAGAAATTGAGTTAAACAAGTTTAAGGTCATTTTCAAGCATACGCCAACTCATTGTGGTTAAGTGACGTTGAAAGCTGCTTGGGTGCCAAATGCAGCCATGTTTCAGTCTGTTATTCAATGTTACTCCGTAACTTATCGACGTGCAGTTATAAAGATCAAAGACGAATGGGACAATTTTTTTTCAAATGATTTGAACTCTGATAAATATTGATAGGCAATGGAATTGCAAATTAAAAAAATCAACTTTAGAACGTTTTAATTTTTTTCGAGGAATCGATAGAATACTATCAGTTATGCCGGTCTAAAATTCATTGCGTTTGAAAATTATCTAGCTGTGTTTATAACTATTGATAACTTATCGGCGTGCAAAGATATCAAATGAATTCAACGATCCGACGATAAAATTGCTTTTTTCTTTTCATTCACTAATACAAACACTTGCACAAACACTTTCTAACGACATCAAATTAAATTTGCAGTAATCAAAAAAATATATAAAAGTAACGCAACGAGTACGTAAGCCAAATTATTGTCCAAGTTTTGCCTATTACCGCACCTTCAGTTCGTCCTTCATCTTTACGCAAACGTGCCTCTTCGCCTCGGAATACTAACGTCCGAGCAGTCCGATCCAGCTGGTTTTATAAGATGAGCAGCGCGTAATTATGCAAACGATGTTTACCACAAGAGAAAAATACCAATGCTTGACCAATTGGAGAGCGGCATTCCGAAGGCACGACTGGTTTAAGTGCCACGACGCGGGCGCCTGATATTGTAACTCTGCTTATCTCGGAGACACGCGTGAAATGCAGCGACGAGCCCCTTCTCGAGCCGGTTAATTATTCATGGACATTTTTTCCTCCTTTTTCTCAGATTCATTGAAAGTCGCGCGATCGCCGAAGCTGTTTGCGACGGGTTTTTTTTTTTCTTGCTTTCATTGGCGGGTTGGTCATTAATAGCAAGTTTCTTGAAACTTCTGACGATCGATAAATCGACATTGACGAAGGAAATCCAGTATTCCCATTGAAAATGTCCGCAATGCTCACTCGGGGAAAAAAGCGGCGGACGAACACGACGCACGCAAGTATCGCGTTTTTTTTCTTTTTTTTTTAAGAAGATTTTCTCATTTTTTAAGTATTTTCAAAGCGGACGGAGGCGCGCGTGCGCACAGTTACACAATGGAATTTCAGCGGCGAAATATCATTATGGCGGCGCGTTCCGCAATATAATAAACGACGGAAGCGCGAGCGTGCTCGAAAAATGGCCAACTTACAATTACACGGGGAAAGAGAAGCTCCTTAAACATGCGCACCCGAACACTCATTAAAGCGCAATCGGATGGTCACGATTGTTTCGCTTTCGTCCGAAATGACGTGGTGCTGCGCGCTCGCCCGCAGAGACGAGATCCTTGAACCGAGCGTCCGTGACGTCCTCCACCGCCCCCTCCCTCTGCTGTCATATTTGGCTCGTCGTATTGGCGTTCTCGGGACGGGATGCCTGGCCTATTCCACGCATGCCCGATTATTTTAATTGCTTTTAGAGGCGGATAGTAAACTGCGAATTTCACACGATTAGATTACGACGGTCCAACCACGTCAAATCTTTTCTGTAAAGTTCATTGCTTTGATCTGCCTCGTGTGCCCGTGCGTGCACCGAACGAAATACGTCGAGCATTCAGCTGCAGGATCGTCGTTTCGCGCGAATATCGCCATACTCGACTGACCGAGAGGAAGCTGGCGTTCGCGCGAGTACACTCTCCGCGACACGTCGCGCAGCCAGTAAGCCGCGATTGTCCTCTCCATCTCGTATACCATTCCTATACGCCAGCAAACGTGAATAAAACGAGTGTTGCCAATCGGTTACAGTTTGCGCAGAAAATACTCGAAAATTAATCGACTCGATACAGTTGAAGACGAATCCCTGGTGACCTTGGACCTGTATGTCACGTCAACGCGCCGCGGCGGCAAATTCAAAGTTGTATAGCTAAATTTCATCGTGACTTTCACATTTACGAATCTGTAATAGAATATACAGATACTATGGTGAATCGGAAACATACGAATGAACGTTTCCTCGCGGATACTTTCTATCGCGTCCGATCTGTAATTCCTCGCTAATACACACGCCGCAACCACGCACCAATCGATTCTTATATATTTTTGTTTTTGTTTCTTCGACTCTCTCAAATACGCACACGCTCGACAGCTCGGATTAATTAACGTGCGTAATTGCAGCCGCTGAATTCCATGCGATGAAATTCATCGGGAAAACGACTCGGATCAAGGATAAGGCGTAGTTGACTTGAGAGATGAAGTGTAATCGGACGCACCAGATGGATTATTAGAGAGTTCCATCGTTGAAATCGTTAAAATAAAGTGTATTAATTTACGCGGTTTCTCCCTCTCTCTCTCTCTCTCTCTCTCTCTCTCTCTCTCTCTCTCTCAATCAATCAATCTTTCTTTCCCTTTTTGCTTTTTATAATCGCGAGGGAAGTGAATTCAATTATTGATAAAAGATTGCTTGGCGGAAGTGCGTGAAAATTGTGTAAATTTTAAGTGATAATAAAAATCGGCTGCTCAAGCTGGAGAAAGTTTTTATGAACAATAAAGCCTGGCTAGATCGATAACTGATAAGCCGATTCTTCCAACAATATTTAAATCTTCGTTTTATCGTTGCCAACGAAGAAACTTTCGCTTGATGATCACAGAGTAAGTTATAACAAGTCGACCATCTAAACAAAGACTGCATTGTGTTTGAAGCTGGACATTTATGCGAAGTTAACACTTTGCTTATTATGTTTCTCGTTCAATTAAACCAAATCGCTGCCTCGTCGGACATGTACATTTGAAAGCTCTATACGAGAAATATAAACTATAACTAACTTCGTCCTCAAAGCGACTTTATTTTACGCTGCAATTCCAAATTATACTAATCGTAGCGAGAAGAGTTGGCGTTCTCAAGTTGCAATTCCATGCCTATGCAAGATTCTGTTTCGCAAAGATATCTCGATATTTATTGTAAACATTGTAAAAGAGGGACAAGTGCACCGTTTAAAACCAACGCATGTTGCCTGTAGCAAGTTAATATAAAAGAAAAAAAAAATCGCAGCCTTAATTTATAGCTCAGGATGGTTAACGGTTTGCAGAAGGTAAAGAGCATAGCGGAAAAGCATAATAATATTTCGCGCATCTCGCGCGTGCATCCACGATAAAATCCCGGCGGCAACAACTCGCGTGTCGCGCGCTGCCTTGCATTTATCGGCTTGTCCATCACACGAGAACAACCGAATCCCCCCACACATATCGCCAGCCGGAAATTCACGAATTACGCAACCTCATCCCTGGAACTTCCTATTATTATTCTTTTTTTCTTCCTTCTCTCTCTCTCTCTCTCTCTTTCGAACGACCAACAAAGAAGTTTACTTTAACAATGGTCTCGTGTTAACGTGAATTTTCACGATATCGTTTATCCGACGAAATCGATAGTTTATTTGCGAATAAAATTCATTCGGACGATACGAAAGTGGCGAAGACGGGTAAAAAGGAACCGGAAAATATGAGAACGAAGACGACCAAAGTTTGCCACTGTGAGATGCGTATCGGAGGCAGCGAGGCCGCAACGTCGTCTTAATGGAGCTTGACGCAGCGCGCGCGCGATGCGACATCGGGACGCGAAAAAAAGCGAGAAACGAGAGAGAGCATCTCGACTGCTCCACGGAGAGAAACGGAGAAAGAGATCTATCCCGGACGAACAAGCGCGACGCTTGCGCGCCGAGCCCCACTCTCCTTTCTATCCAGCCCAGCGAGCGTATACTCTCTTTCTCCGGTTGTGGAGCGCGCGCGCGCGCGCGTGGTGGCAACAGGTGGACGTTTACAAGCCGCGGACTCACTACCACTCGCCAGTTGTCGGTCGCTCGCGGGAGTTCGTTGTCCGCGCGGAGCGCGCGCACTCGCGGAACGGAACGCCAGGCTTCTTCGTCTTCTTCGCTGCTGCTCTCTCTCTCTCTCTCTCTCTCTCTCTCTCCGCGTCTCCATGTGTCGATGCGTCGGCGATCGTCTCGCTCGTTGTGCGCCCAGTGACAAAAGTGCATAGTTGTCCAGTGAACCCGTGCTGTCCTCGCGGACCTCACTGCCGACTGTGCTCCTCCAGTACTCTTGCCAGTCGCTTTCTCGCGTCCTACCTCTGGTGAGTTTTTTTTTTTTTTTTTATTTTTCATTTCATTTAACTTTCATCGCGTATCTTTAGCGTTGCCCTTCGCCGCGATTAGCCTTCCGCGAAGCAGTGCCACTGTTATTTTTGCAACGCAAGCTACGTCGAACGAGAGCACACGATTGGCTTTCCCATTGACAAGCGAGGCACACTTTCCTCGTCGTCGATGTATAATCCATGTGCCGCTTTTGTGACAATCATAATCGCACATGCGCGCGAGCTTGCCTCGTTCGTTCCTGATTCCAACCAACTTCGGCAGGCTCGCGGTGAAACTTAGGATTCTTATTTTTTTCTCTTCCTCTCAACGACTCGCCGTACTTTCGCGTCGAGCTTTATTAAATATGAAAAAAGCCGCGCGCGCGCTGTTCTGCGTGAACGTGCATCGCAACTGAGCCGTGAAACGGTACCGCAAAGCCGCGTTTCTATAAAATTCTGCCTCTCTCGCGATATCTCAAGTTTATAGACTGAACAATCGACGCTCGGATAATCGCGGCGCGGATGGTTATGAACGAAAGCGCCGGATCGGACGCCGTCAGTCAGCGCTACAATTAAGGGCAATTATTTCGATTGCCGCGGATTTCCGTAATCGTAACTCGCGTTTCTTTTCTCTCATCTTAGCGCCGCGCGATACGCGAAAATTAAAAGAGCCGGTTGCACTCGCGCGCAACCCAAGTCACACCAATTACGCCGATAATTATACGCGCTCTGGCCGCCTCGGGAATGAAGCTACTCTCTCTCTCTCTCGCGCGCGCGCGATAAAAGTCGCGCGCGTTTATTAATTAAAGCCGACTTGGCCGCGTACCTCGCATACCTCGGATTGTTTCGTTTTTCCGTAGCGACCGCTTTTACGATTGTCTCGGCAACGGATTCAACATTCCGCTCAGTTTTGCGGAACAATGACTGCACGCGCGTCGTTTCCCTTGGCGCAAAAACGAGCCGACCTTAACCCTGAATGAAAAACAAAAATAAACGAATAAAAAAAACAAAGAGAAGCCTGAATAATCAAGCTCGAACGGTGCAGGAGAAAACCGGCGGCGCGCAGAGTGGTGAAAGAGAGAGAGAGAGAGAGAGAGAGAGAGAGGAAAAGGAAAAAAAACGGAGCAAGGATTGGTGCTCGCGGGCGCCGTGCCGCGTCATAAATGGCGCGTGCACGCGTACACACACACGGCCAATTAAGTAGGCCTCTCGGAGCCTGCAAAACCGCGCCGCGCACGGGATATTCTACACGAGCGTTGCGTGGATTGTTTCCACCGTGCAACGATCTTTCGGGAGAAAGGGGGGCAGGCCGCGCTTTAACGAGCGCTCGCGCGAACCTTCTTTTTTTTTTTTTTCTGCTCGCTGACCGCGAGCAGTTTTCGGCCAGAGCGATTATTCAAAGCGGCACGGTTGGCCGCCGAAAAATGACGAAGGCTCGGGGCGCCTTTTGCCGTGCAGCGCGGGACGACGGGGAAAATGCACTGCGCTTTAATGCCGCTCGGTCGTAAAAGTGAAATTGTCGCCCGATTATCCGATTAGGGCACGCGAGCCCGCCCCAGGTAAGCGGCTCGATCGGCGAGTCAGTTGGCGCGTCTCGCGCGCGCAGCGGCACACGAGGAAGCGACGAATTCGACAAGTCGTCCTTCACCCACTTGGCTGGGGAGCTCGTCGTTTTGCACGCACTTGGTGATGTAAGCGAGAGAGGACGCACGCGGCGGCTTGCCGCTTCCGGCGCGGAGAAAGGATTTGCATGGCATTGCGGTTCTGGCAGGCCGCGCGCGCGCGCGCGCATCCTTTGACAATTTCCGCGGGGGGAACAGAGCTGTCACGCTTTGCGGACCTTACGTTACGGACAGCCACGCATTAAGTGCCTTCTAATTCTTCCTCGAGTTGCTCTATTATCAGCGAACGTCTATACTCAATTACCGGCAATTTATCGGCAATATCGGCAATATCGGCAAGTGTCGCAAAAGTACCGATATTCGGATTGCAGTCGGAAAAACGCTCTGTATAATCACGCGTCAACGCTCGGTTTCCCAACAGTCGAGTCAATCGAAAAGAAAAAGAAATGGATGCGGCGAGCGTTACTCCTTTTTTCTGCATGCCTCTCTGGATAATTCTGGAAGCGAGGGACAAAAGGCCGAGTTTCACTTGTGTAGAATGGATTTTACGAGGCAATTACGCGTCGACTTTCGCGCGAGCAGTCGGCATGTGTGAATCGCCTCGCTTCACCGTGGCCCATTGATGCGTTACTATGAAGCCGGCGACGTCTTCTCTTCCCGGCGAAATTTACTCGTGTGCCGATAATTATGCTGCCACTCTCTTCTCCGACCTCGCTCGCGTGATCGAATTTCCACTTTCATTTTGAAAACGCCTTCCCCCTCCTCCGTCGTGAGAAACGGATTTTCAAAGAAATTACGAAACCCACAAAGACGTTTATATTGTAAGGAAAGCTCAGATCCAACAATTGCAAGTGCGTATGAGAGAGCCACCGCGAGTCACACGAACGCGATCGAGCGAGCACACGATTTTCGGCAAGATCCTCCGTGCGGAACAACGTCCCAATTCGAGCGTCTCGCAACTGAAAACTCCATAACTGAGACGCGCGCGACAGGCAACGTCAGCTGGCCGAACTCGACGCAACGCTAGCGTACATACTCGTAGAAAGGGAGTTACGGGCGCGCGCCGTTGTTGCGGTACACGTACCTGCGCCGCAGGTTCAATTAGCCGCGCGCCAGCGAGCAGCTGCGCTCACACGCGAGAGACACGTACGCCATGCGCCCAGCGACGTTGGCGATCTGCCGCGATTGAACCAGACGCCCGCAACAACGGACCGCGGCTACGGTCTTCTGCCCTTTTTCTGTCTGATTATCTTCTTGAATTAGTCCGGGCTTCCTCCACGGCAGATATACGACATAGTGGAAATAAATAAGTAGCAGCTTGGCGCAATTAACGCGGCAACGAGCAGAACGTCGATCTGGCGCTGCGATGCGATATCGCAGCAAGACGAGTAGGACGAGCGTGGTATTTCGGTGCGACGCTCGGCAACTGTGCGAAACGATCGTACGAGTCGATCGACGTCTCGGGCGTAATGTCCACGGGTCCGAGTGGCCACCGACGCCGTAAGTGCAAGGCTTCGCAGACAATTGCCGGGGACGCGACGACGGCGACGCCTTTCACGGGGCAAATCGCTTTGACTTTCTTGAGCGTACCGGGTGGCAAGTCGATTCGCACTCGCCAGTGCAAGTATCAATCGCACGACTCGAACGCGCTTCTTTGATCGCTGCGGTCGTGGAGATTTCGCGCGACCCCAGCGCGTGTCTATATATACGACGATCTAGAAAGTTTGCAATTTTCTTCATTTTCAGTATAAATAAAGATAGAGTTTACGCATCCATTGATCCGATTCGAAACGGCCGCGATGTTTATTGTCTTGCAGCAGACGCGAGCGATTTGTCGATGACCGCGATGAAAAGAAAAGCGCGGTGCAGGCAGCTTACGCGAACAATGTTTTCGCACAGCCTCTCGCACCGCAGCGAGTGAAAGTGGGGAGGAGGAGGAGCACGCGTACTTTCGAGCGATCTTGTTCGAAAACGCGTACGCCCGTTTTTTTTTTTTTTTTTTTCTTTTTCATCCGCAAATAGCTAATAATCTTCTCGTGTACTCTTCGTTAATCACCTTGAATTTCTCAAACCGCGAGGGTCCGATATGATCCTACAGCGATTTCTGTTTTCTAATCGTTCGAGCGCCTCCGCATGTTCGTAAACATTTATCCCACTGCAAATATACACATTTCACAAAAAATATTTACAAGATTAGGTACAAATTTCTGCATGCGTTAGTCGAGTTTTTTCTCAAATTATTCAAGTTCCTTCATAATTATTATTATTATCGAATTAATTTTTCTTATTATAAAGTAACAATTTAAATTAATTTAAAAGAGTAGTGTAAGTATTTAAAGTGAATATTAATTAGACGATATTTCATAAGTCAGATTTCTATCTTTATTAGTGCAAAAATACAACAATGAATATAAATTTTTCTTATAGATAAGTATTTGATTGTATAATATCATGTTAAATGAGTTAAAAGAAATAAAAGAGTAACACAAGCAATCTCCATTCAAATACGTTCAAGAAAAGTAGAGTACTTTACGTATTACATCTACTTTGTTGGAGTGCCACTTGTTAAAATTTGATCATGGATTTTCAATGACAAAATTTAACGAATATAGCAAAGTAATATCTTTCACCGATATTTTTCCAACAGAGAACGTCCTTAATTCCTTAGTAAGAGGTCTTCTGGGTTTTCCTTTAATAGCCCGTTAAAAATAATCCTTTTGCAAATAAATTTGAAAAAGGATTCATCAATTTTTCTTTGAGCGCATATAGTTTCTTGAAAAAATCACGTCTATCTTTTATATTATCTTGTCCTCTTTCTTTTTCTCTGATCTAACTAAACGTTCACTAGGATGATTGTTTTTGTCAGGCGACTAACTACTGCACGAGGATGCAATCGCTCATAGTACTGAATAGCATTAGTACTGAAGGGGTGCGTCAATAATGATTTATACATTTCACTTCGTTAGTTCAATATATAAAGACTCTAATTATTTTGATCATTGTGTATAAAATTCCAGTGATTCGCTTTCAAATTATTTTATGTTATCAACAGCAAATTATTTTTTCGATATTATTCAATGTTTTGAAAATATTACAACAAAAACTTTATTAGAAATACATACACACACACACACACGCGCGCGCGCACACTCACATACACAAAATACATATACACAATATCAGGTGATGAAATGTATAAGAAACGCGTCAATTAAAAATCTTACAAAGTTTCGTAAATATATGTTTTTATGCTTTCCTCTGTTTAATGGACACTATTGCGTATCGCGTGGGTAAAATCGAAATTTGAAATTATTACTCATCCTTCATTCTTATTTGATTCATATCGAGATATATTTAAACTCGATAATAAGAAAAATGTATTTGCCAATAATAATTATTTAACATTAGAGAAAATGAACTAATGTACCGATAAATTTTGGAGATAATTTTGTGCAAATTTCATATGAATCGCACATGAAACGCGTATACGTAATTATTTCACACGAGCGCCGTTGATCGTTGACGATTTTTCTATCAGCGTAACACTGCAGATTTACAGCTATGAAATACCTGCATCTCGTCTTGCAATATATATGAGACGTTGATAAACAAAGCCGGCGGTGTCGTCGTTTCCGCTTTCGCGAGAGGACGAACGAAAATCCGAGTTTGAAAAACCTATCGAATTTCACCGAAACGAGAAAAAGAAAAACGACGCGTAGCGCAAGCAATCGAGAATTCAAATTAAATAGCTCGCGCGATCTCTACGATATATATATATATATCTCGGGAGCAGCGTCGAGAATTAATCGCGCGAGACGAGCGAAATTTTCATTTCACGCGGAGCGGGCAACTTTCTAAGCGCGCAACGCTTGCGAAGCCCGCGTCATCGTCGTCGTCAACGCCGCTTGGCAATGCATAAAATATCACTTGCTATTTAGATCCGACCGAGCGCGACGTTCTCTCCGGCTTGTCGTTGTTGTTCTTTTCTTCGCGTACTCGACTTGCAAGTACATTTGCATGCGACTCGCCGTCGCCTCGGATCGACCGAATCGGAAAGTTTTCAACGCGCGTTAATTTTCTCACTTTTCGCGCCGTCGTGCTGCCTTCCGTGCGCGCCGATGCTCCGAGATCGCTGCTGATCAAGGCTCGATTCCACTTATCACGCGATTATTACGCCTTTTTCATAAAACTCATTTGACCAGTAAATGTCGGTTTGATTGCACCCGTGGACGGGGTTTCTTCGAGCGATAGCTTTTGTTTTGTAACGCACTCGTAGATGGCGTATCGATGACGAGGAGGGAAATGGAGAACAAAGAGAAATAAAAGATCGTAGATGCCACGATTGGGCACGAGTTCCGACTGAAGCTCGCATGAAATTGTAAATGGCATGAGTTGGTGCAAACAATCTGTACATCACTTATAAATTCCAGATAAGACGGGATAGTTAAAGTTCAGCGAGCGAGCATTCGATATAACGATAGCTCTGGAAACTAAATCATCGTCAATGAAATTGCGAGCAGCAGGCGTGATAGCCTGGTTGGAAAGACAAGAAAACGCCGGCATTAGTAGTCATCGCGAATCACGCGATACAAGGCTTGTAATAGCTGTCGGCACAAGCGAGGAATACACAAGTGCAAACGTACAACTTCCGCGAAGGCGATCCTTTATACCGCGCGCCGTCGTTGCGAAAGCGATCGCAACCGAACGCGTCGTTGTCGCGATTATCGTTGCCAGATCGCGGCGAATGTGCGTTCAACGCCAATCTTTCTGATTTCAGAATGAGAGGTAGGGGGCGCAAAAGCGCGTCCCAATGTCACGCTTGCGATGGCCTGCAGAGACCGGCCGATATGCTCCGTTTACTCCGAGAATATGAGCGATGCGACAACATGTAGCTGCAAGCTTCATTCCATTGATAAGGTTATTGCAATTGTAATGCACCCTTTCGTATTCGTCGGGTTTGCTGTTTTTTTCATTAGTTTTATTGAATAATAATCAGCGTGAAAGAAAACGTTAAAAAGTGACAGTTGTTGTTGTATGAGACTGACAATGGAAGCATTGTAACATAATGATTTTTTGTAATCCCTAGTTTATAAAAAATATAGATCTTCTAGCTATAGGTACTTGAGAAAAATGGTAATATTTCAATAAATACCAGGATTCAGAAATGTGACCCTCTTCACGAACAAAAGCGTATCAATAATATTTTAAACGACAAAAGCCGAACCGACAAAATAATCAATTACGCGCGTCCAAACATAACTGTATTCAAAGTCTAAAATAAAAATCAAACTGACGTAATTTGTAGTGTTCAGTGCGCAGCTGCGGTTCCAGTATCATGTTCCAGGAGCCATTCTTTCTGCATCCGCCGGGTTCAAGGCCGCGGGACGGCCTCTACATCAACCCCATGAGCGCGTCGTATCCGGCCTCGCGCACGACCAAAGAGTCGGTGATAATAGCCACGAGCCCGTCGACGGTAGCTGCCGCCATCGTCAACGGGAACAGCAGTAGCAGCGGCGAGTCATTTTACTTGCACAGCCCGCGTGACCTCGTCTACACGCGCATCAGCCACCTGTTCAACGACACGGCTAGCATCAACAGCTCCACCACCACTAGTCGCGCTTCCAACGATAGAAAGGACGAGACGCTCACTGGTATATACCATATGAAAAGACGCCCAACGTTTTTTCCGAGTTTCATTTTTCTGTAGGCTTCTTTTTCCATTCCGAGCGCCGACGTAGGCATAATATTTATTTATTTATTTATTTTTTTTAACTCGAAAGGTTCATTTGGTATTTCAGTGAAAACAGTTTCGCTCCAGCGAAAACTACCAATGAAAGTGGCCGAGTTGCCTATGTATATATCGGATGGAAATTTACATTCGCGAAGAGACACGCGTACGCGAAGGAAAGCGTCAGCTCGCGTGGAAAAGTTGGTTAGCAAGACGAGGTGTTCCGTTCGCTCGGCGAGAGAAGCCGACAATGCAGCAGCCGCGATTGAGTCGCTACATCCAGATTAATTGTCGATTTTGCTCCTTGTTAAAGAGCGATGCTCCCTTCGATTTCCAAGCAAAGAAAGAAACTACGCAGGCTATCACTAGGCGACATGCTAATCGCAAACAAAAGGCGTAGCGAGCGTGACTTTCACTCTTGATCCCTCTCCCCTCAAAAAAAAGGAAAAAAAAAACAACAAAACAAAAAAAGCGGAAGGCATTTCTCCGTCGGACGCGCCATCTAAGCACGATTACTGTCTTTTCTGTTCCGCCAGTGAAAGTGGACGTGCACATCAATAATAACGGTACGTTAAAGCATCAGCCATCATCGACAGTAGTAATGGCAGCGCCAGTACCGCCACCGCTGCCGCCACCACCGCCGGCCGTACCGCAGCAGCAGCAGCAGCAGCAGCAGCAGCAGCAGCAGCAGCAGCAGCAACAGCAGCTGGGTAACGGAAGCGTGAAGGACAGCGGCAGCGAACACGCTTACGAACAGATTTTCATCAAGCCGGAAGAGCAATCGAGTCCCAAGCATGCTAGAGTAACTCGTCGGAAACTTACCGACAGTGCCTCTCATCCTAGGTGACTGACCAATTCGCTGTTTTCGTTTTATCTATGATTTAGCCTTGACGAGAAGATACTTGCAGATAACAGAAATACTAAGAGGCCTTTCTCACTGCTTACCCCTTTTCTTGTCCTTATAAGTATTCGCAAATGATTCGATCAAACAAAAACACCATCCTTCCGTTTTCCAAAAAGCAAACAACAAAAACTATGAAAAATAAGGAATTAGACGCCTCGTTCAATCGGCAGGTCGAACAAGGCAGATCGCAGGTACAGCAGGTCTAGCAGCGCGAGCGAATCGTCGAACATGAGCAGCGAAGTTCATTGTTACTCATCGGCAACCTCGACTCCCTCGCTTTCACGCAACAGTAGCAACGAGCGCAGGAGTAAAAGTCCCAAGGCGCCGGATCACTCGACAGGTAAAGCTTAGCAGCCACTTCTCGGCGTAATTTTTGTCGGAAAATTCGCCAGCTTAGCGCGAAAGCCATCCGTGAAAATTCAGCGAGCAGGTCTCGCATTGGTCGGGTGAGCGTGCGCACATCGAGCTTTCCCGATCGAACGGGCCGCGACGGTCGCCCAAAAGATGGCGATCCACCGAAAGCAAGCGAGAGAGAAACGAAGATACGCCTCGTCAATTGGAGACGATTGCTATTTTTATTGGAAAAGCCGCGCCGGAAGTGAAAGCGCGCGTGTACACGCGGCGCCCGTGTTCGATTGTCGCCAGCCTGACTTTCCACGAAGATACGTGCTCATTACTCTCATTTTGTTTTCCCGCTGTAGCTTCTACGCCCGTTTTGCCTGCGCCGCTTTTCGATCTCTTTACTTAATAATGGGCACGCGATCGCGACGCACTGCTCGGAATGACGGAAACGAGCTTTCGTCAAACTCCCAATATGATCATTCGTAAAGTTTTTCATTCTCAACGAGTAACGTACTAGAGAAAGGGAAGACAAAGCAATCGATGTTAGGGCGCCACTCGTGAGAAGATCACTGATACAATCGATGCGAATGTTTCAGAGAGGAAAAGCTCAACGACGAGCTCGACGAGAACGGAAAGCGAAAAGGAGACGAAGACGTCTATCAACGGAGTCAGGCAAGTAGGCCAGCTCGATCGGCTGTAAAGAGAAGATCGAGAGTTCGATATTGCTTTCGCGGCTGAACGATTATCCAAACTTTTTTTTTTGTCTTTTTTTACACGCGAAGAGGAAAAAAATAACGACTAAGGCTGAGGCGAGACAGAAAGGAAGCCGTCTATCAGCACTCTTGGCAGATCTATTTCTTAGAGTCTCAGATTATGTATACTTTAGTGAATTGTTTTTCTATCTCAGTTGAATATCCAATTTATCTTAGGGTAGGAAATCGCGTAGTTTCGAAGTTTCTTTGGAAAACAATTTTCTTTTGCCGTTAATTCCAATTTAACACGAGGAAGCACCGTCAGGATTACTTTTCATTAGCAGCCTTATTAAGCCATAATATCTCGAGTACCAGCATCTTGTAGCGTAATGTCAGAAGTCAGAGCCAAAGTTCAGTATTTTTGTTCCTTAAAGCGTCGATAAAAAAGGGTTTTGATATCGCGAAAAGCACTTTGCATGAAAAGTTAAGCTGCACGGCGAAAACGAAATCGCCGGACTCGATTGGAAAAGACGTAACGTGATGGTGTTGCCGGCAGTATATTTAGGCCGCCGCCGCCACCGCCGCCGCCGCCACCACCACCGGAAGCCGACGAGGTCGTGATCGTGACGGGCAAAGTGGTGGAGAGCGGTCCGAAGGAGGAGAAGATGGACGGCTGTCCGATGAGCAGGCAGGAGTTAAACTACGAGGCTACCATCAGCGTTTCCGGTAAATGCCAATTTCCCTGCGCACGCGACGCGCACGCAACGCGCACGCAACGCGCACGCGTCCTCCGCGAGCCCGCCCGAGCGCAGGACTGGCTGCGCGTGCGAGAAAAGGAAATCCACCGAACGAGGGACAATGTCGAACGAACGGTTGCCGAGGGCCGTCCCCTCGGCCGACGTGGTCGACGGCGCGGTCTCGCGAGAAGGAACGAGAGACGGACATCGCGGAGCTGCTCTCGCACGACTCGCGCTGGCCGCGAAGAGACGACGATGCCGTCGCTATCAGAGCGCGCAGTCGGCGGAGGTGACCAGCGGAAGGACAAGACGAGGAAGGGATCGGGGGCGAAAAGCGCGGAAACCGTGGTTGGTCGAGCAGCGCGCGCGGTCGGGAGGGGGCAGTCGTTTAATTGGGCCGGCAACGCGCCGAGGCAGCAGCCGCGCTATTATGGATATGTATGCGGCAGCCTTTAGTAGACCATGGCGCTCAGGCGGGCATATAATACACTTACCTAGATTTCACCCGAGCGCCTACGGGTGCCGCGCTCGCCTACACACCCGTGCGAGAGACTCGTTCTGACTTTGACACGCTCGTCCGTGCGTGTGCGTGCGCGCGTGGCTGTGCAGCGGCGACCGCGACTCAGCCTCGTGCAGCAGTTGCAGCGGAAGACGAGCACGAGACGCCGCGAGCGCCGCCGCTAGTCAGCTCGCCGGCGAGCAACGACCAGGAGGACTCGGCGAACAGCCACGGAGCTCGGCACTCGTCTCACCAGGTGACCGCCCACCTGGTCAACAGGCACATGGTGCTGCCCTTCATACCGCCCAAGTTCGCCCATCAGGCCGCCGACTCCGACACGCTGCTCAAACCATCCGAGTACCTGCGCAGCATCTGCAAGTCCGGCCTCGTCGCCAGCAGCGCGTCCAGCTTGTCCAAAGCCAGGTACGTCGAAAACCATTATCGCGACGATCGTAAACGGAGATAACGCGCTCGCTTGGGATTCGCGCCAGCTTGCAGTTTTCGAAATGCAGGCTACGAAGCGCGACGGCGCTGCGACGACGGCGATCGAACGGTAAATATCCGATTCTTCGCAGCGACAGTTCGAAACTCGGGTTTCTTCGGCTCGGCCGTGCCGCGCAGCACATCCGGCTTTGGGAATCGAGACGCAAACCTCGAATCTCCATTGCCGCTCAATTTTCAGCGTAATTGGGGATCTCGAGTGCATTGAGTCGTCGCGAACAAGGATATGCGAGCGCGCGCCGAGTCGTACGCATCAGGCCGTGAAATCAGGAGCGAAAGCTTTTCTAATTTATTCCAGCTGCGCGGAGAAGCATTTACATGCGCGCCGTACTTTGTGTACTTGTGGAAAATTTCTTTTCGCTCTTTCGCCCGCTTGAATTCGCAGATCGGTGGACAATTTGGACATACGAAGCGGCGACGAAGAGGCGAACGGCAAAGCCGCTGGCAACGGCGGCTGCGGACACAACGAGGAGGACGAGCAACGGAGACGGAACGACGAGGCCTCGGGGCCACCGCCACCACCGTTGCCACCGCCGCCGATGAATGGACTGACTACGTCGCAAACGTCCTCGTCGACCAATTCGAGCGGCGCCGTCGACGGCGACATCGCCAACAAGTCGCCGCAGCAGCAACCTTTGGCGACCATCAGTATTCAGGACTTGACCAGTGTGCAATTAAGGAGGACCAACATCAAGATGCACATCACCAAGACGTTCTCTGCTCCGCCGAATCGCAGCGTCTCCATGACCAACGGTAAACAATGTTGTCGGCTGCCGTACGATCGAAACCTGGCGGTCGCTTCGGGAGCTGCGTATTAGGTGCGTTTCTCTTTTTCATTCATTTTTCAGTGTCCGAGGCGTTTTGCGTTCAGAAGACTGACTTGATCGCGGAACTGAAGAAAACGAAAGACATACCCGGCATCAAGAAGCTCAAAGTGCAGCGGGCGCAAGTGGAAAAGACGCAGGAGCAGACTTTGATATCCGAGATCAACAAAGCTTTTAGCATTGCCAACTTTGTCGACCAGGTGGGTCAACGATCTTTTGTCTTTCGCTATATCGTTGCGCGCAAGGACGAGGAGAATCTCGCAAATCGAAAAGCCGACGAGCGAGTAACGAAGGCGATTGTGCATTCGGCAGATTCCGGAGAAGGACAGCTCGGGCAACGTGATACCTATTTGGAAGAGGCAAATGTTGGCAAGAAAGGCGGCAGAGCGAGCGAAAAAAGAGCTGGAGGAGCAAATTGCCCGGGAAAACGAGGAGAAGAGAATACAAGCGATACCGCCTTGGAAGAGGCAGCTGCTCGCCAAGAAAGATAGCGACTGCAAGGCCAGCGGGTGAGTCATCGATCATCCTCCTGCGCTCGCTATCTGCGCCGAGGCGTTACTCGCGCTCGTTTTCCTTCGCAGAGCGCTGCCGCCGCAGACGTGCTTGGCGCCGAAGCTCGAGCTACAGCCGACAGTCGCGAGGAAGGAATCAGTGGCCGCCGACGTTCTAGCGACGCCGCCGCCGCCGCCGCCGCCGCCGTCGTCGCCGCCGCCAAGGACCGACGAGCCCACCGCCGTCGTCGCCGCCAACGACGAGGAGAAGAGAAACGACTCGATCGACGACTCGGACAGCGTGCACATTATACCTTGGCGAGCGCAACTGCGCAAGACCAACAGCAAACTCAACATTCTCGATTGACGCGATCCGTTGCTTCGCGTGCTTACTGTCGATTACCATCGTTACTTTGTTGTTACACTTCGGCCCCACTCTCGAGAATGATGCAGCTTTCATTAGGAAAAGCAAAAATATTTTTTGTAAAAATATTTATCTCTGCATAAGCTTTCTGCTGGTGCAAGCGCCTAAGTGGTATTTATTTATGTGAATATATTATATACCTGCTGTATAAAATGCGATCCAACACAAACATACATTTTTCAGCTTAATGAGATTATCATTGTCGAGGCGAATGACCACTGTCGTTTGCGTTATTAATCCTCGTTATTATAATTAAGATTTTTAACGATTGATTTATTGCTTTTATGTGTAAATAAACATTGATTCGTTTATTAAAGCTGACGTCATCTGTTTTCTCCCTTCAACACGTTTCATACTTGTGAGACAAATTACATTTTCTTTTCGTCATTTCGCAAGAAAGAACGAAAATAAATCAAATTATTACTCCAAATTATTCAAACTATATATTTTATTATTAAAACTTTGAAATTACGTTTGATGAATATTAACATAGCGTGAGCAATTAAAAATTTCATGCTTCGACCATAGAAAATAAATTATTTTCCGACTGCAACTCACGTTTAACACCATTCTAGAATACTCGCTTACGTGTATTATTCTATTATATTTCACAGATGAAAAAAACAAGGTCACTTCTTTCAAAATTGTTAATTAGCTAATTAGACTAATTACAAAATTTCATTGCCTCCAATATTATTACAATATATATCTTGTTCACAATTCTATTTTCATTAGAAGAATTATTTCCACACCCTACTTAGAATCCTAAATATCTTGTTATAAAGGGGATGTGTGAACTAATTCAATATTTTCAGTGAGGCAATCAAATAATTTAGTTATGAACATTTTATTTTGTATGACTCAAAGAGTTTGTGTATAACATCGTTAAATACATATATAAAGTGAAATTTGGACCATTTGGTCTTTACCTTTTAATTTTCAATTACACAAAAGCCTCAGTTTCGATGAAAATTTTTTCGAACGTATAATTTACAAAACAAATGATTCGCAATTTATATGTAAGATTCAGTTAGGGCTTTTCACTTAATACAACTAATGGATGATAGGATATCCTGAGGTTCTCATAATTATTAATAAAATTTGAAGAATATATAAGATAGTATTTTTTTATTCGAATAGTTTTATACAAGGCAGTTACGGAAAAAGATTTTTATACAAAGAAAATCAAGCGTCACTCCAGCTGGAGTGCTTTCTTATACAAACGACATACAAAAAGAGAAAGAAATTCTTTATACAAATCACTGTCCTTAGAATCGAAAAGTCAGGAAGATAAAAAATTATATTTATATAAATACATTTGACGCATAAATTATACACGAAGATGATTAAAGTAAAAATAAGACAAGAGTGCAGATGCAAAGCGCGTTATATATATAAATATATATATAACGAAAAAAGTTGAGCTTTATAGAGGCGATTTTTAGAAATAAATAATAAATAGCTCCATGACGCCCATAGGTGTATATGTGTATGCATATGTGTTTTTATGTATATATATATACGTGTATAATGTATACGTTCACTCCTAGAGCCAATATTTTTCCAACGGATCAGTTTAAAACGAAGACGCACAACATCGTGAAAAGAGATCTCATCAAGTCTTTCGTTTGCGCAATATGGTGGTTTTTTTCAATATTTGAAGAAAAATTCCGTGACTGGCGTCGGAAACATCGTCACGAAAACCTCGACAATAGTAGTGTCTGGGAAAAGAATCGCGTGGAAAATCTTGGCTCCAAGACGCGTTGACTAAAGAACTTAAAGAAAAGATAAACACGAAGGAATTTGATGCTTTCGATTTGGACATTATTTTTGTGTTTTATGAGCTTTGCTGCGCGTTGCTTTTGATACCTGCGGGGCGATTCTCTGCAACGATTGACAGTCCATACTCGTCGTCACGTACGCGATATGTACAATTATTTGTTTGTTAAAATTATTTGAACGTAATCTCGCTTGTTGAAATTTGTCCCTTAGAATTGTCACTAACTACTCAATCCTTCGGTTCACGGTTCCCATTAACCAGCCTGTTTTCGATCACTCGTCAACTTGTTGCGAACAAGTTGAAACGCCTCCCTTTGCTCGCACTTATTCTAACGCTGTCTTGTTACACGGGGAGAAAATTTTCATTGTTTCATACTATTGGAGCATTCGTTTTTATTACAAAAAGTCTCTATATCATTCGTGGAATACATACTTATTTACAAAACTCACTTGTGCATTTTAATAATTCTCACTTATATAGAAATACATAATAGTTATAAGAAAATCATTGAAATTGTGATTTAATACAATAGCTCGTATAAAAAACATACATGCATATTTTGTATTGATTATCACACAGCATTTATTTGTTTATAATTGAAAACGTCTGTCGTAAAAATCAAATATGCGCAAACGTTTGTTTTTCCTTTTGCCTCTCCATTTCATTATTGTAAGTATATTTTGATAGCATTTTTGCAAAACATTCTCCCCATGTACACGCATCGCCGTTCACTTGCACTCAGTTCTCGCACGTCGTCTTCTCGCGCGCTGCTGCCCTGCTCTAATTCGGATTGGCACAATCAATATAAGAATTTATTGGTTTGTATGAAAAGGTACAGTTATTCTATATGTATTTAAATATCGTATCAGAGTGTCTCTCTACACAGGAAGCATGCGATTTTTTTTCTATTTCCCATCGTCTATTTTGTTTTACTTGCCAACGCTTTAATCGTTGCCAAGCGAGATACTACTATTTGCGGGTAAAGTGCATCCTTTAAGTCTATTGGTTTCGCATCGCTTACTTTTTTTATCGCTTATACTCGTCGACTCTTTTAATAAGCTACTGCATACTATACGGACTTGCAAAGTGCGAGACAACGCCAACGTCATTTTCATTCGTGAAATTTTATCGAATTTACGCGTGCGCACGCCCCTTTCTCCATTCGCAATTCTATATTAGTCTTGTTACATTGTGATTTTCCGTAATTCTCAATTTATCATGGTCCACATTGACTTTTTATCGAGCCGTTGCATTTAACGCACATTGTGTATTGGTTTCTTCCCAGTCTTTCCGCGCCTGTCTGTAAAGTCGTGTTCAAACGATAACTTAGTTGAGAATTTATGGCATCGCGTATGCTGAAGCGCACCACAAGTGGAGCGACTCGAGAGCGTTACGTTTCGTCACGATCGAGTTTTAAATTAAATCAGCGTGTATAAATGTGCGTGCATTTGTCCCCTTTTCTTTCGTGTAAAAACTTTGATGAGAGGGAGGGAGAGAGAGAGAGAGAGAGAGAGAGAGGAAAGAGAGAGCGATAAAGGATGTGTTGACACCATGGACCATATCGAAATCGATAAATCTACAGTAGTAAGTCTCTCGTAGTGTAAAAGTTTGGCTGTAAAAGTCTGTAAAAACGTACAAACGCGCAAGATGCAAATATCAAAAACTTCACATTTTATTTTCTATTTTATCTTTTTATTTCTTTTTTTTTTTTTTTTTTTTTAAATCTTTTTTTTTCTTGTTCATAGGAGAAATACCGCTTTTATATCGCGTGTCAGTCCATCTTGTCAAACCTGCCATCTCCGCGACCGCAAGAATGTCAAAACTAACGGATTGACACGTTCTGTACGGCTCAAGAAAGAACCAGATTCGATCTAGATTGAATTTTTTTGAGTTTGTTTTTTCTTTTACATTTTTTTTATTTATTTGCATGTACGATGTATAAAGTCAAAGACGTCAGACGCGAAGGATGAGACGTTATATATGTAAGTGTGTATATTTACTCCTTCCTGTGGTCGATATTTCATTATTTTTCTCGTTTTGCTTGTTTATTCTCAATCTGTTTTTTCTTTAGTTTTTTTATTTTTTGTATACTCTCGTAGCTGCATATTGTATGAATATTCATTACTTTAACTCTCATAAGAAATTAGAAAAGATTTCGCTAAGTTTCTTTTCCACTGGAGTAGCCTAGATACGCGTGTTTTTATTTCCGTCTATGGTCAAAGAAATTAAAAGAAGATTCGAAAAACTAATCAACATCGATTATATTTTTTACATGTATCGTAAAAAAGCTTTAGGAGCACACATCGAACGAACACTGCCGATCGGTTATTTACGGTACGATAATCTTCTACATCTATGTGTTATTTTGTTCTGTCGATTTATTTTGCTTACAGAAGTATGAACTCGCCGCGTTCGTTGACCATTCTACTATTAAGAAAATGCATTTCTCATCCCTTCTTCCATTACCTTTGTTTCTTTCTCCACCTCTTTTCGCTACACTCGCACTAACATCGCCTTTCACACCGATGTACTTTCGAACGCTGCAATACAATATTCATTAGTTTTTAAATTTTTGTTAAAGTAAAAACTTGTATACTATCTTTGTAAAAAGTTCACGGCATCTAAATATTTAAGTAAAAAAAAGGTGATAGAAATCAGTAGTATTTACGACCTTAACACAGCCAAATCTTTGTTTAAAAACATCCGTTTATTCGTGACGAGGCGGTTTCGTCGCGTATACATATATAAATATTTTCTCAGTGGTGGACACTCTTCTGTTAAAACGTCAGACGTTAGCGTTAAGATTTGAGATAATATCCGTATCATGTACATACCATTGCCGTATGCCTTCTTATTCGCTTCATCTCAACATTTCGCCATTCTATATGTATGCAGTTTAAAGGAGCTTCGCTCGCTGTCGAAGCTTCTTGCAACTCAACACACCAATACGTACTTCATTGAACACTTGGTGGATCTATCGATTATAGATAACGCAAAGCCTTACAAATTTGCCTTTGTCAGATATCTTGCCAAAACTGCATCGAATATTTAGCCTAAAATTGTTTTATTCATTTACCCATTACTAACCAACATCACACACGTTGGTGTATACTTAGAACGTTCGAAACAAACAATACTACAAATCTAGCAACAATTTTGTCAATAATCTTTTTCATTTTAGTAATTTATAGGAAACGTTTTTTTAGAACTTCTTTTTCTTGCGTCAAATGAATATTATTGACCTCCTAGCATATAGCGGAAGCAAAAAATTACTAATTCGCTAGAGCAAAGAGTATCATCAAAGGCAAACTTGCAAGACTTTTGCCGCGAACGTTTATACAGGCGATATAATTGGTTTCGTTCTCCCACCTTGAAATACAGCATTAATCAACTGTGATTGATACAACTTTTGTTAAATAATTGCAATAGTACAACTATCTATTTTATGTAACAAACATCGACATTTATTTTATCCTTTGACTCCGCAATGACTCCGGAGAGGAAATGACCCAGAAGAAAATTGTATGTCACTTTCAATACTAGTACACTTGCGAGATGCACATCTCGGACGCCTTTTTCGAAGTTTCGATATTTAAGTAGTATTAGTAGCAGTAGTGTAGGTATGAAACTGAAGAGATAACCAATTCGATAAATAAAATATGTCTTCATTTTTGTAGCATACAAAAAACTTTATTAATACAAAATAAAATTCTTCATTTATATCATGAGTAAATTTGCAAGTTAATTTTATAAAAATTAACCATATTCATAATATATCACATACTATTTTCTTGCTGGGGAGTGTTAACAAACACGCCTACGACTTGTGCCTTTTTTTTTGCCATTTCGCTTCACATTCTCGCTAATAAACCGCGTTTCACTTCCCCTTAGCTCATCGCATACACATTATCATTATTAATTGTTTTTTTTATAATAATTTTTTAATTATTATTCACTTTTTGCTAACCGGTCAACATTCGTCGTCGTAATATGTTTTGAGCGACAGAAAACACGCGCCTTTTTCGTAATGGCTTTTAACACGTATATAAAGGTATATTAGATAATGAATAGTCTAGTAATGTACAAAGTGTATATGTATAATCATCGGAAAAACGAACGCATCTATCTTTCTTCCATCTACTTCGCAACGTGGTGCTCCTCTTATTTTTGTTTAACAACGATTGAACGATGCCTCTCTACGACAGTGTATTCTTTTGGCAGTTTCAGATTTCTCTCGTGAAAAATTGAACGTTTAATCATGTCGCAGATACTTCTTGGCAGTGCCGAAGAGTACTCCGATGGATTTTTTTTCTTTCCTAATACTCGTTTATACCTTCTACAATTACATTTCTTAACGTAATTTTCTAATGTATATAAATGGCAGTATTAGCGTTTTTTCTAACATCTTTTTTATCTTCTCCTGTTCGTTAAAACTCGATCGCATCTTTAGCTCTTCCACGCGCGAAACAGTTATGTACGTGTATATATATATATATATATATATATATATATATATATATATATATATATATATATATATATATATATATATATATATATATATATATATATATACACACACATATACATATATATATATGTACCAATAATATATGTGTGTGTACATTCAAGTAACAACTACAGTCGCGATGTAACATGGTAAATTACTAATAAAAAGACAAATGAAGAAAGAAGAAAATTGAAACTGTGAACGTTTCTTGTCGTTATCTTTTTTTTTTCTTTTAAACTTTGCTTAGCCTAGAGTTTTGGATTACATTTGAAAAAATTCTCAGTCAATTTGATTCGGCAGTTAGTCGTCAATGTAGCTTTTGAATCACATGTCACGTACCCTTTTTGCCGCGTTGGAAAATAAACAGCGTAGAACAAGAAAACAGAGTCGACGTTCCAAAGGAAAAATTGCATATCACTATCCGAATTTCCGATTCGAGGCATTTCGTTCTGGGTTGGGTACGCGCAGAATTGCTCTACTTCGCTACGATTTCATTTTTTTCTTTTTTTCATTTTTTTTTTTCATTCTCGTTCTTGCCAACAGCTTCTTCGCCTCTTTTTCTCGTCGAACATCGAAACTCGGTACCGATTTACAATCATCGTCGGTTTGTTCGTCGTTTTCAAGCTTCGGCTTAGAAAGTCTTTCTTAGTACATTTATGGAAATTCTGCGCTTGAAAGCGAAGTCAATAAAAAGTGATGCAGCTCAAATTAAAAATGCAACAGTACACATACACGCGGACTCTCGCCTCCTATCAACCGTCATTTTATCAAAGTCGCTCGCTCAAAATCGCACTCACACGCAGAACTGCACACACGCATTTCGCCTCGTAAAAAAATTTTACAATATAGTCTTCTCCGCCAAGTCTCTTAGTTCTCGCTTAACACTGTATTGCTATACAAAATCGCGTCGGCCGAAGCGGCTGATGTAATCGAGCGAGCGCGCGAGTCGCCCCGGTTGAATCTCGCGTCGTCGCGCCCAATGAACACTGTGCGCGTTGAAAACGTCAGTTATAATCGCTCTCTGAAAAATCCATAAGATTAGAGTCGGAGAAAGATAGATAGAGATAGAGAAACGAAGAGCGGGCCGAGAGTAGGCGACTCGCGCGCCAGAGCGAACGTTCATTGCGAACATTGGGGCGTCGCTCGATGACATACCGATGCGCGCCGCTGTTTTTTTCTTTTTTCTTTTTTCGTCTTGTTTTATTATAAAGTAACAATTAAATTACACGATTGTGATAGTATTAAAGTTGAAAAGTAATAAAAATAGCAATAGTAATAAAATAATGGTGGTCATAATAATAGTAATGATAATAATATAATAATAATATTAATAGCAGTAATAGCAATAGTTCGGTAATAATGAGAGTAATAATTAACAATGAAAAGAAAAGGTAGCAAACAGAAAATAAAGATCCGCTGTCGCACGCCGTTAAAAAATTGCATACTACGTGGTCGTGGTGTGATTCTTCCTCCGCATCGTTATTTTGTTCATACTCGGTCGACGACTCTCGATAGCTGGGCAGGTCCGCCTTACTTGGGCACGCGGTAGTAGCGCAGGACGAGGTAGCCCATTGTCCTGAAGACGACGAGGAAGGCGAGGAGCACGAGCGTGTTGGCCCAGAAGGGCAGGCTGCCGCCTTGGCTGTCGAGGATCGCCGACACCGGTATCGTCGCGCTGTCCTTGCAGTCGGCGAACTTGCTGGTGTGCGCGCACCTGCGAACAAACGACCGTTAGCCGCGCGCTCGATCGCGCGCGAAGCCGCGCGGGCCGACGCCCGACTCACAGGATGGGCTCGCCGACGCCGAACTCCAGGATCTGCATGTTCTGGTAGGCGTAGTGCACCATGCTGACGTAGCGCGCCCAGGACAGCCAGGGCGGCACCGCCGTGGCCAGGTAGCCGCCCAACAGCTGCGTGGCCAGGGTGTACAGCGCCGACGCGGTGATGCTCACCTGCAGGTCCGTGCAGCAGGCGCCCACGAAGAAGCCGACGCTCTGCGGAACGACGGGTTAGTAGCTGGCCCAGGTTAGTAGGCGGGGGGCGCGGGCACGCTCACCTGCGCCACCAGCGTGTTGAGCAGCAGGAACGCGAGCAGCGAGACGAACACGGAGAGGCTGTGGAAGCCGAGCATCGGGTAGCTGATTATGTGGTAGACCGCGGGAAGGGTGATCGTCAGCGGCAGCTCGCCGACCATCTTGGCCAGGTAGTACGCCGACAGGCGGTACGAGCCCGACAGGCGCTCCTTGTTGATCACCTCCCGTTCCGGCGGAACTGAGCAACAACCATCGTGAAAGAGACCGCGCGTGCGCCTCTGGTGCGCCTCTGGTGCGCCTCTCGGCCGCGTCGGACACTTACAGCTCGTGAGGGCGCCAAAGTGCGCGAACAGCATCCAGTACGTGGTGCTGAAGAACATCCAGCCTTGAATGTCATGGAGCGCCTCCTCGATTCGGGGCAGTCGGAACCACAGCAAGCCGGCCAGCAGGCCCAGCGCTATCGTTTGCAGCCAGTTCAGACGCGAGAGCATTCGGGGCCGTGCCTCCTGGAAATTCCTCTCCGATAATACCTGCAACAATCGCACGTCCGCGCTTTATGGCCTGCCAAAACAGTGCCTCGAGGCGCACACCCATGCCAATTCTTAACCCTTCTTAACGGCCCACTCCTTGCCCCATTATCGTATGCCCGTGTAGCAGCATTTCTAAAAGACCACCTTTCCCTTCTTCCCGTTCGACCCCCGATGCTTCTAGAGACTTCTTTCTTCGTTCCTCGTTGCCAACCTTTTCGCGCGCAAACCCTTAACGGTCACCTCCTAATACTAACCGATGATAACGATCTGATACAACGCTCTTCGTTTCCAATACGACAGCGTAATTAATCATCTTCGTCCAAGCGAATCCAACATTTTTCATTTATTTATATCCCGAATCGCTTCTTACTGAACGACTTGCCGTTTAACGTTCACTGGCTATTTGTCATAAGCAAAAACAAAATCTATACTTTGCTTCTTGCTGCTGCTCTTGTTGAGTGACATTATTTTTCTAGATCTCAACAAGGCATCGGGTCTTTAACAATAGTATGCTTTCCACGATCAAAGATATTTTGCCGGATAAACAATTTTAAGTTGAATTTAATTTTTAAGAAAAGCAACGTCAAAATGTCCAAGATAAATTCTTCCACGAATATTAAATTAAGTTAGTGTTGATAGTGCGAAATACGTGATCGAATTATTCTAGATAATAACATTGATTAACCAAATCCCTTGGAATGCGCTTTATTGTGTCAAAACGCCACTTATGATCCTAAATCAGGATCGTCGGAACAATTTGTCAATGAAATCACTAGGATCAGGCGATCAGTCAGGTCTCTTCGGAAAAGAAGGTTGCGAGAACTGACGTGTCACGTTAATCTTCACGCTGAACGCGAATAATCTCAGTAATACCTGAATGATTATAGCCGTCGGTAACTGCAGCTTTATTGCTCAAAATGACTACTTCCATTCGATCGACATAAAAGTTCATTATTTTATTTATCGGACGAGTCACTTAATGACAATAAAAATCGAGTCTTACTTTGAATTGCGACCAGAAACTCGTGGGCCACTGCCAGCTGTAGTCGTCGTCGGCGGAGCTGGCGTTGCTGCTGGCGTGGCTTTGCGTGTCCAGCCAGAGCGTGCGTCCCTCGTCCTCTTTGCCTGCGAAAGTCCAAAGAAAGCCAGATGTCATCCAGACAGAAAACGGACAAGACAAAACGGAGAGAGAGAGAGAGAGAGAGAAAGAAAGAAAGGAAAAAAACAAAAGAAAAAAAAAACAACAGCGGACGGACGTTTGCGCGGCAAGTGGCGTGCGCGGGTGGATATATAATATTTGGGTGACTCTGTGAGCGAACAGGAACCGGAAGTCGAAAAATACGACAGTGTGTTTTCGGGTCAAGGCGCGCCATACGTTCGAGGGTGCGCGCATTAATGTCGGGCTTTCGCTTCGCCGGCGGAGCCGGACAATATTCAAGCCTGGGCGATATATTTGGCGAAATTGCTACGTGTACCGTGAAAAATTTCACGTTCTTTTCCCTTGAGTTTCGCGCTACAACGCGTTAATGCCTAGGCTTTGGGCGGGCGCTCATTGTCGCAGCCACGCTCCGGCCAAGCGTTCCCTCGCACGGCTGGCGAGCCGCAATTGGTCGTTGCTCGCCGAAAATGACCAGTTGCCTAGTGCAGCCCGAAAGGACGCGGTTATTACTTGTCCTCGGGCG